AAACTCAGGTCATACTCTAAAAAAAATTTGGTCAGATAGAAATATATTAAGCTCCAGACAAGGCTTTATGGAAGGTTGGTCTACTAGTATCTCCCCACCTTCTGGTAAATGCAGTAGAGTAATAATTTCTCAGATTGGCAGTTAAAAAAGATTTGTTAAGCATGGTTTGTTGAAATTTCAGTCCAAAAGCACAAAAAACTATCACGAGGAGATGACAGCTGATGTTTTCGAAGAGTATTTTGAGCAGATGTTTGAACACATACCACCAAATTCAATTATAGTATTAGATAATGCACCTTATCATTCACGACTAGTAGAAAGACTTCCAACGACTGCGTGGAATAAACAGGATATTCTTGACCATGGACGTATAAACAAAGATGTGTTTATACGTCCATGTTCTTGACTATCTTCGGAATAACGCTGCGAATAAAGGTTAAAATACGTTTATTGATGGTTCAATTTCCACTTCGGAAATCGTTCTGCTTATTCCCATTTAAATGGTAATTATTAGGAGTTATCTCAATATCTTTCCACTTTTCCATATTTATAACATTATTGCAAACGTCAATCACTCATCACCAAGTCACTCGACCTCATTTGACTTGAAGGAAAATATTCATACACGCGCATAGAAACATCCTCACAACGCAAAAATCGCACGTTAAAAAACGTATGGAGAAAAATCGCACGTTTCAAAACGTCCAGTTAAGATAGGCGCGCACGCGCTTGCAAATATATACAGAGAGAGAGAGAGAGTTTAAAACTTTGAGTAAATCTAGTAGTAGTAAATTTAATCACACTTCTACACAATGACACGTTACCATTCTTACCATGGTGATAATTACTCATGAATTTCTTATAATGTCTTACGATACACAAATATTTTATGAGTATCTGAATAATTTGAAGTAATATTTAACAGGAATTACTGTGAAAGATGAGGGAAGAAAACATTTTTTATATAAGAATTTATTTTATTTTTCTTAGGTACATAACACAGTAAGTATACAATAAAAATTTCGTTTTAAATAACAAAAATAGACAAATTTCTCTTAGTTATAAATAAACAAATATGGCATATATTTTATGGCTTTCCCATGTTTTGGTACATATTATTTTTGAGATTTTGAATACTGAAAAGTGGAAATAGAATTACTAAAGATTTTTAGAGGAAATAACATTTTTTTTATCTATATCCACAGCCCAATTCTTTCAGAAAATGATATCATATCATAATAATTCATCAAATATGTAGAAAAAACTGCGATTTAAACTTTGAACAAGTTTTAATTTGAAAAAAAATTAGTTATTTATAAAATTACAACACGCAAACACTACACAATGCATGTATTATCATATAATTTCGCGATTTTCACAGAAGGTAAAAAAAGTTATTAATAATTTATAACTCAGGGTTATTACAAATTCGTAACACAATAATTAGAAATTTATATTCATCAGTAATATCCAAAATCCATCGATACTTAAAGGAACCATCTCAAATTGTAGGTTAGATTTAATGGTTCTAGTCTAATATGTAACAGCTTTACTCTTAATCAAACTTCAATCAGTGATTAGTTTACATAGCCAAAGGAGGCCAATTATCTTCAACTGTTAATACGCAGCAGGACAATAACGAATTGCATGATAACCTGGTAAGTGAAATGGTACGTACCGTATAAGACCATCGCTACCAAAAATAAACTCTTGTAAGAAACTAGGTGCGCTGTTACAAATTGTGAACACTGTCCTATCCAATTACATCGTGAAAGCTCATACATTGGAATATTTACATAATATGCTGATTTACTGTGCAGCAACAGCAATTGCTAATGTTATGGGCATTAAGATCAGAGCAAGACGGGGTACTAATATAGAAAGAAATGATAACAGAATTGCACCTTGGGAAAAACGGCTACTAGGAAAAATTGAATCATTGTGTAGGGACAAATAACGGAATACATCCGAGGAATAAGAAGTAGAAAAATCATCAAAAGAGCTGAAGAGATATAGCGGAACACTCTAAGACACTCAAAACATGGCCCAGAAAATAACACACCGCAACAATGCCTGGACACATAGTCAGGCAACCAGCAGTACAATAATGCAATATATATTATTGTTTGAGCACCACTTTTATGATTCTCTGACTTGTGGATACGAACTTCCTCGGAAATTTAAAGATAAGTTAGCAGGTACGAAACCAAAGCTGCTAATGTTGGAATGCACATATTAAACTTGAAATTTAGCCCGAACAATTAGTTGTTTTAAAAAATGTTTATTTTAATAGTTCTTATAACAGAAGAAAAAAGGACAATTTAATGTTTAGTACAGAAATGAAACTAAATTTTTGTGGTACTAAATGTCAGAATGCTAGACTGACTTTTGTGCAGAACATTCATTGCTACGATCAAGAAAGTGCTATATTATTTATAACATGGAACGACAACAGTGCTGTAACCATGGGTACCAATTACGATACCATAAAACCAATTGCAGAAATGAAGCGTTTGTGTGCAAAAAAGTAGCAGTGCCACAACCTTAGTTATTCAACTCCTACAATTTATCAATGGGGGGTGCGGACATACTCGATCAAGAGGTAAATAATTACAGAATCGGCATCCATGGAAAAAGTGGTGATGCATACTCTTTACACATATGATAAATGCGTGAAAACTATATAGGGTTACAAATGTAAATGACAAAATAGATTTGCTACTATTTCAAAGAAATATTGTCCGCCATTACTGCAGTGCTTTCAACAAAGCCATACAAAGACGATCAACATCTATCAAACCATTTGGTTCGCTGCCAAAGAGTATTATACTGGATACTCCTGATGGCCATTTTCCTAAAAGAACCACGAAAACCCTCGAAGATGTCGCCGATATAACTCTTTGCACTGAGCAGAGGGAGTGTCAAAATATTTCACTCATAATTAATTATGTGTATGTATTTTTATTAAATATTTTCTTGGTCTGTATGCATTTTTATGTTCAATATTGCTATTTCTTTTCTACAGAGTTGTTTTATATATTTATAATCATAATTAAAAGTAACTGCTAAAGGATATAGGTATTTTCAGGTTCTCTCTTGGCGTTGGGCATTAATGGGTCAACATGCTTGTTTACAAAAAAACAGTACGAAAAAAATTGATGCTACTGACGCATGCGAACAAAGTTTCTAGCATGCATATTTCCAAGGTTCATGAGGTTTCGCATCAAGTTTAACTCCGGTCGAAAACTCCTACATTTGACATATGGGAGCCAACAATGCCATATCCCCACTTTTTTATTGTCTAAGATCAACTTTAATAAAAAAGATTATACTGTATGGACACAATAAAAACTACTAAATAACTGGTTATAAACTATAATACTATGCAGAATAAATATAATTATAAAAATATAATTTCGGACAAGTTGGAATACTTTAGTTTCAATAACTAGATATGTTTATGCCTAAACCTACTAATAGAGCAACTTTTATAAAAATCGTACCTTATAGGTTATATTTTTGAAATAATTCTGAGAAATGAATTAGTAAACACAATAATATAAAGTCATGGGGGAAATAGAAATACAGTATTGCCCAAAGTAAACAGTACTGAAACTAAAACATAGATGTCTCTTTGTGCGCGCTGTCATATTCAAATTAACTAGTATAGACCTGTCAAGTAATCCTTAAACAATTAATTATTAAGGCCTAATTGTTAAAAATGGTGTTAAGTACAGAGGAGAAAGTGTTTCTTGTGGAACATTATTTTCGCTCATACGGAATAATAGTGCAAGTCAGCAATACGTGTGTGATCAATTCACATAACGGTTCTCCAAGTAATGCTGTAATTTTAAAGGTTGTTGAAAAGTTTAGAAATACGGGTAATGTATTGCGTCAATGAAAAGAAAACTTAGGGCGTTCCAGGACAGTTAATAATATCGATAACCATAAAGGTGCTTTTGAGCGAATCTTAGAAAATCCGAAAGCGAGGCACACAAGAACAGTGTTGCATCTTGGCTAAAAACGAACTTTCTTACAAAGAATCCTGAAGGAGCTGGGTGCATTTTTGTATGTGATTCAGGTACATCAATAATTACATCCCAGTTATTATCACAGTAGAGTGGAATATTGTGCCAGAATTCTTGCATTACAGTATGAAAATCCTGAATTCTTGAAAAATGTATGGTTTTCAGACGAAACACATTTTCATTTGTCAGGCCATGTAAATCGTCGCACAAATCGATTTCTGGGCTTTGCCAGACCAAATGAAGTTCAAGAAATTCCTTTACATAGCGCAAAAGTGAGGGTCTGGTGTGAAGTTTCGGAACACGAAATCATTGGTCCATACTTTATCGAAGAAAATGGTAGGCAAGTCACACTTAATCAACAGAGGCACATACAAATTTTAACACGCTTTATCTCTGATCTACGTCAATTTTGTCGTGCACGTAATTTGGCATTTCGAGACCAATTTTTCCAGCAGGATGGGGCATTTTGCCAAACAAATTCATATCACAATTTACTGACTTCCCCTATCCTGCACATTGTCCAGACTTAACATCTCCAGACTCATACATTTGGGGCATGGTTAAAACTGCCGTTTTAAAATGGGCATCACAAATCACCAATGAGTTAAAGGATGCCGTTAGAGCCTTCTTCGCGGACTGGATACAACCTTTATTCCATAACATTACGAGAAATCTGGAATATCGGTATGAAGTCTGTCTTGAGAGAGGAGAAGCTCATTTAGATTATAAAGTATCAATAATATGTATTTTTTAGTTCAAACAATAATTCTAACAATAAGTTAAAATACTTTCACGTTCAATACTGTTTATTTTGGGCTGTAATGTATTTAAACACAGGGCCTAAACCTATTAACAGAGCAACGGTTATATAAATCGTACATTATAGGTTATATCTTCCAAATAATTCTGAGAAATGAATTAATAACACAATAATATAAAGTCATGGGGAAAACAGAAATATTAAAAGTTTATTTAACCGTTGTTCCTAAAAAAGCGAATCTGTGTCGTTTATGAGAGGTAAATAATTATGTTCTCTAAGTAAAAGTTTGTATCGATTTTTTGGAATGGATTTACATTTTATAAACTGGATACATTTCTTCAACCATTCTCTGTCTGCCATGCCCACCTGTAAAAAGAAAAATTATTACATACTTTGATAGATATGTATAGGGGAGCACGGGGCACCTTGAAACATTGTTCGTATTTCAAATTCTGGTGGGTAAATGAGAACTTGTTACTGTCAGTGGAGCTTCGGTCGACACCAGAACTAGCCATCTTTGTTTCGTTATAATTTCAGTTGTAGTTTGGAGAAAATTGTATTTCTGTGTGATAAAACTAAATTGTTACGTGCGGACATAGTTTAATTTTAAGGTAAAAACTGCAATATTTTATCTAGTTGAGTAGTATTATTCGAAAAGTTTATATTTATTGAATTGCTTTTATGCATTTTCTTTTCTATAATTGTTATTTTTTGTGAATTTGGCATAAAATAGAAAATATGGACGTTCGGGGTACAATGAAACATAACTCGACGGGACACTTTGAAACGTTTCATTCAAGGTGCCCCAATAATATTTAATCAAAATAATATTTTTATTTTTGATCCAGTAGGTATGGTTCGAAATCGTCATAACGCTCCACTAAACATTTCCTTGTTTAGTGTAGTGTTATGTACAATTTATGTTTAATTTCATGTTTATTACATTCTGCGCTTGCTGGATAGCCCAAATTTGACGAAATGTCCCTGATGATGCTTTAGAAAGCGAAAGTACTTGGGCAAGATTTGATGAATAAAATTCTGCTCGATATCTGCCTTTAATTTTTCAAAGTTAATTTAAATATTGGCTAACTACTATATTCAACGTTTGAGTTATTTTTTTTTATTTTATATTATTTTTTTTATTATTGGAATAAAACTGTAGCATAGCACTTTTATTGGGCATACTTCTAAAGCAATTTCATTGGTTTATTATACAACTTGGTCGTTGTTATATATGTTACATTGTACCCCTATGTATGTTACATTGTGCCCCAGTGGTGGGCACAATGAAACATTTTTTTTAACTTGAATTGATTATTACTCAAAATAGTTAATAATAAGGTTTTGATGCTACTATAAGTTTGTTCCTAGTAATAAAGGGCATCTTTTAAAACACATTTCAAACTGATATACCTACAAACAAAAACAAATTTCTGTTTCATTGTGCCTCGTGCTCCCATACACTATTTCCTTTACAAGTTAATTGCCCGTCACGTATTAGAACATAAGAATATCTATAGAGCGTTCCAAGTTAAGAAAATAACATTGCGGAGATAGGGCCATGTATTTCTTATAGAAGATAGAAGCGCGGCGATGCCACGGCAAACACAAGCACGATTCAGTCTTCCAATATTAGAAATCAATAGAAAATATTGCTTAGTTAAATCATGCATTTTGCCGGCTATTAAAGATTTAAAAGCAAATAAACGGACCGCTTGGAATGCATATATCTAATTACTAATTGCAACTTAAAATAATACGGTGTGCGTATGTCAGCGATTTTATGTCGTTCTCTTACTACATAATGATAATAAGGCTTTGTGGTTCTTTAGTAGTTATTCTGACTTTACAGTTAAATGTTAATTGAAAATGGAAATTCAAAAATTAAGCCAGGACAATATCTTGGACATCCGTGCAAAAGAGAGTGCCCGAGGATTGCAACACTGATCTCCTTAAGCGTAATGGTATTTTCTTAACTTGAAACAAAGTATCGTAGTAAAATATGAAAAATACCAACCTCTATTAGACTCGCCAAAATCAAATGAAGAACAGGAAATGCTAATAAACTGTACTTGAAATCATTCTCCACTCTCTTTCCGTGTGGAATGTAGACCAAGTTCATCAAATCAGCAATATACTTACAGGGATAAACAATTAGCCATGTTACAGCTATTACCAATATGACAGCCGACAACAGAAACCATGAATTAGTAATAAGCATTTCTCGGTACGGCCTGCCCTTGGAATACACCACCGCTAGGATAATATACTGGTAACACGACACACAGAATACCACTGTGTTCTCCCATGAAACTATTATAGGTTCGATCGTATTGCTTGGAATTGGTTTAAACCATTTTTGTTGGAATAAGTAGTATATCGATCCTATTTGAAATAAGGCACATAGGGCGATTTGTAAAAGTAAAGGCAGCACGTTTTTGGCAGATACGAGTGAACTCATTGGACGTTTGGAACCTAAGTAGCCGGAGGGACCTAAAAATATCAAAATTTATTTAAACCATATAATTTATCATTCATAAAATGTTGAGTGTTGAGAAACAAGTTAATTGTAAATGGATGGATATTTTTATAGTCGATGAGTAAGAAGCGTAAACATCTGCTCAAATGCAATCTCTCCTTCACGAGGTACTCCTGTTAAAAAACAAGTAAGGGCCGAGTATCGAGAGAAATATATGTAGGAACCAAAATAGGGAAGTGCAGTTCAACTTAAGAACTAAAGTACTTAAGTGCCTAAAAGAAAACAAGGTTATTAACCACTTCCCCTAATAAAACGACCTACAAATGCATCAAAACAATGGATTAACAGTTATGACGACCTTTCCAAGACCAGAAATAGAAATAATACGATCGAAAGTGTTGGGGCAGACTTAAGAAAGTTGTGAGTAAAAAGATGAAGATTTTTTGCCAAAAATTAATCTGTCAAGAAGCAGCGTCGATTCCGCATATATGTATTTCTGATTGTTTCGTTCTTTAATGTATCTCTAAGAGTCTTTCTCGTTCTAATTTGTACAGATTTAATCTTATTTTATTAAAGATTATGTGGGAAAAATATTAAAATAGTACATTTATATTTCCTCTTCCAGAAAACTTTGAAATTAATTACTATTTATAACTGGGAATAAGCCACATTAAAGATAAAAATACATTTATTGACGTTTCAATTTCCAATTCGGAAATCGTTCTCAAAATACAAATAGTAAATTAAACAAATTTTGTTTTTTGTTACATAGTGAAAAAATTCTTCTGATAATTTAATTTTATCTGACTCATTTATATTGACAATTCAGACATACATTATGCATTTTAAAGTAGACGACTTTAAAATGATATTGCCAATATTGTTGAGTTGCGCTCCTGGGACGACTTTACTTATAAGATAGTTCATTCGATTACATGAAATCAACTTTAACTTGAGAATATCCGTCAGAAAAAATCATAGCATGTAATTCGTCTTTAAAAAGACAAACACATGACATGATGACAGTAAAATTCTCCTGTTAGTAATTCCATAGTAAATTATGAGGGAAAAACCAGGAAAAAAACCTCATAATACTATCCCGACATTGTAAGTATTTGTTCGTGAATTTAGTTTACCTTCAACAAACATCAAAATTCTGATTTTATGTTACGTTATTTAAAAAACATAAATGATGTATCCTCTATATGTTACTGACTTACTAATACTGGTATTTTCTTATTAATAACTTCCTCTTTCAATATTGGTAACCAGATCCTACTACATTCTGCCGAGGAATTGGCGACACAATTGGCCTCATTTAGCATAATTAGAGCCGCTTCTTTGATTTTTCTTTTTTTACCATCCGTTTCTTTTAGGACTATATTTGAATTATTCCATTGAACTCTATGTTCATTATCCCATGCGTGTTTACATATTTGAGATCTATCAAATTCTCTATTTTTAATATAAGATTGATGTTCACTTATTCTAACATTTAATGGCCTTGATGATTCACCTAAATAAAACTGATCGCATTCACAAGGTATTTTATAAATGCAATTCTTTGTCCTTTCTTGTTCATTGTTAGGTTTGGTTTTGGACAAAATAGATCTCAACGTGTTTGTTGTTTTGAATGTTGTTGAAATGTTGAATTTATTTCCTATCCTTTTAAGTTTTTCTGATAATTTTCACGCATGGGATAATGAACATAGAGTTCAATGGAATAATTCAAATATAGTCCTAAAAGAAACGGATGGTAAAAAAAGAAAAATCAAAGAAGCGGCTCTAATTATGCTAAATGAGGCCAATTGTGTCGCCAATTCCTCGGCAGAATGTAGTAGGATCTGGTTACCAATATTGAAAGAGGAAGTTATTAATAAGAAAATACCAGTATTAGTAAGTCAGTAACATATAGAGGATACATCATTTATGTTTTTTAAATAACGTAACATAAAATCAGAATTTTGATGTTTGTTGAAGGTAAACTAAATTCACGAACAAATACTTACAATGTCGGGATAGTATTATGAGGTTTTTTTCCTGGTTTTTCCCTCATAATTTACTATGGAATTACTAACAGGAGAATTTTACTGTCATCATGTCATGTGTTTGTCTTTTTAAAGACGAATTACATGCTATGATTTTTTCTGACGGATATTCTCAAGTTAAAGTTGATTTCATGTAATCGAATGAACTATCTTATAAGTAAAGTCGTCCCAGGAGCGCAACTCAACAATATTGGCAATATCATTTTAAAGTCGTCTACTTTAAAATGCATAATGTATGTCTGAATTGTCAATATAAATGAGTCAGATAAAATTAAATTATCAGAAGAATTTTTTCACTATGTAACAAAAAACAAAATTTGTTTAATTTACTATTTGTATTTTGAGAACGATTTCCGAATTGGAAATTGAAACGTCAATAAATGTATTTTTATCTTTAATGTGGCTTATTCCCAGTTATAAATAGTAATTAATTTACAATGCCACAAGAAAATAGCTTCAGAACAATATTAACTTTGAAATTAGGCGAAGCAATGAAGCAGTAGAAAGTTTTAAAACTCACCAATTGTTTGCAGTTAAATAGATCTCAATAAAACTTGTTGCAGTCGATTTGTAAGAGTGTTTGGAAATGTTGTGAACTAAAGTGATGATATCGAAATGAGAATTGCATTATTGAACAAGAAAAATGCATTTTACAAAGTGCGTTTCGAAGTGATGAAAAATGATGAATTTGTTTTTCGGAAATAATTACCACTTGAGGGTTTTTGGGGTCGCTGAACACGAATATTATGACGCCGATGGTCTCTGAGACACCTGGTTCCCAGGATGTACCTCCTCTAATGGAGTTTTATGGAAATTCGATACAAAATCAGTGCAAACTCGTTACTCGCTAATTGTTAGGGTCGCTGATCACGAATATCAATACGACGACGGTATCCGAAGCAGAAGACGGGCCTCGTCTTCTAGAGTTTTATGGAAAATCAATACAGAATTAGTCTACCTTCGTTACTTGTATATCTTGAACACTAATTCATAAATATTTTTAAAATTTGGCGCTAATGCAGTTGACAGGTACTGATATACTCGTGCTACTTACTGCCGTCACTCCATAGGACATTTAACCTTACCTCATAAAACCTGCTCGACAAAATAAGCCGGAAGAATTATTTTCTTCTAATAGCTTGGAACTGATACAAATGCTTTCCGTACTTTTCACAGAATGCCTTGAAAGAGGAACAACACCATCACAATGGCAAAATGCAGTGATCATTCTAATGTTTAAGAAAGGAGATTTAACAAATCTCGTAAACTATAGAACAATCAGCCTCATCTCACACATATATAAGCTTTTTACAAAAGTCATAACAAACGACTTTCGAACAAAATGGACTTTTACCAATCATGCGAACAGGCAGGATTCAGGTCAGGCTTCGGCACAAACGACCATCTACAAGTTATTAAAAGCCTCATCGAAAAATGTATAGAGTACAATAAACCCCTCGTCCTAATATTTGTGGATTATGAGAAAGCATTCGACACAGTAAACCACCAGAAAATGCTAGAAGCTTTAAAAGAGTGCCGAATAGATCACCGCTACACCACTGTCATCAAAAATATCTATGATAATGCCACGGCATGCGTCAGACTCCATGAAGATACACACAAGTTCAACATTCATCGTGGAGTTCGCCAGGGCGACACCATTTCACCAAAACTGTTTACAACATTATTGGAATACATGTGTAAGCGTGCAAACCTAGACGAAAAGGGCATAAACATAAATGGAGAGCAGCTTAGTCACCTCAGGATCGCGGACGATATAGTCCTGATAACAGACCGAATAGATCATGCCATCGAAATGTGCGAAAGACTCTACCATGCCTCTACACAAGTGGGTTTAAAGATGAATAACTCAAAAACACAAGTGATGACAAACCTTGTTCTGAGTGAGAACATCAACATAGCTGGAACAAGTATAGAACAAACATCAGCATACAAATATCTGGGACACGAAATTCGCTTAAGTAGAGATAACCAGACCAATGAACTAATACGTAGAATAGGGTTGACATGGGCAGCTTATGGAAAGCTAAGAGATGTTTTTCAATCAGCTCTTCCCATCTGCTTGAAGAGAAAAGTCTTCGATCAATGTGTGCTGCCGGTTCTAACCTATGGTGCGGAGACGCTAACACTTACTAAGACGTCCGCAAACGAAATTCGAACAACACAGAGGGCAATGGAACGGTCCATGTTGGGATTAACCCTGAGAGACCGAATACCCAACACAGAATTGCGCCGTAGATCGGGAGTAACCGACGCAATCAAAAGAATCTCAATCTTAAAATGGAACTGGGCAGGACACGTCGCGAGAACGAAGGACGGCAGATGGACAAAACGCATTCTTGAGTGGAGACCCAGACAAGATGCCTTTAGGAATAGAGGACGACCACCAACAAGATGGACGGATGACCTGAAACGGACACATCAAAATTGGATGCAGGCGGCTCAGGACAGAAATTTGTGGGGTGAACTACGGGAGGCCTATGTTCAGCAGTGGACGAGTATGGGCTGAATGATGATGATGATGAATAGCTTGGAGCACCTTCCATATGTACAAGAAAACATTTTATTGCTGAATGCGGTTGCGATACGTTGTTTGCTACCTTTTGGTCAAGAACAAATAAAATTTTAAATAATACCTTTCAAAAAAATCCAGACTTTCTGGATTGCACAAAAATTTAAACAAAATGATTTATTAATAAATTGAGGACTTAATTGAATATGGGGACCAACTACTTTTGGCAATGCCACACTTACCTTTAGAAAGTCCAATAGAGGAGTATAAACAGAGTACAACTCAATTGGTAAAGACGAATAATTGATAAAGACATATCGAATGGAAATTGCAAAAAACAAGAAAATTGTCCTCGGCAAAATTTTCCCAAGGTCGATAAGTTTACCCAGTTTTTAAAAGGAGTATATTATCAGGTGCAAAACTGGCTTTACTGAGAGCAAAATGGATTTAACTCCACAAACTGGGGATCAAACTTTAGTTCCCATAAAAATAACACAATTACCAGGTTCACAAAGCATCATGAGCTTGATATTTTGCGGGTGCAAAAATTCTGCAGGCCTTAATTGTACAAATAATGAAAAATATGAAAATTGATCCATAGACGAAGAAAATGAAAAAAAATGGATCAAGAAACAAAATGAAACATTTGTTCAAAATAGTTATTTTTTATAATAAATATAATTTTATAATGAAAAAAAAAAAAAAAAAAAAAAATTTATTTACTGCGTAATCTAACAGTATGTATTTGTGACGAGGCCCGTCCTGACCACCAGGTGTCTCAGAGAGACCATCATCGTATTGATACGAAAAACATAGAGGGTTTGCATTAATTTTGTATCGAATTTCTACAAAACTCCGGGAGACGAGGTCCGTTCTGGGCACCAGATAGGCACCAAGTAGTAATATTGAACTCTTTTCTGTCAATTATTTCCTAATTACAAATTTATCATTTTTCATCACTTCTAAATGAACTTTGGAAAATGCATTTTCCTTGTTCAATAATGCAACTTTATTTCGACATCATCACTGTAGTTTAAAAAATTTCCTAACGCTCTTATGAATCGAATTCAACAAATTTCATTGAGATCCACTAAACTGCAAAAAATTGTTAGGTTTATTGTTTTATTGCCTCGCCTAAATGATATTTACTCATAAACTATTATAGCTAGAGCAACTGTCATAATAGATTCAACATTCATGTGAAAAAGAAGTCAAAATGATATATATTTCACTTCCGGTAATGAAACTTGTTCCTTAGGAGTAGGAAGGATTAGGAGAAGATAAAAGGATCCTTATTGAAGTAGTTTTATGTTGGGCAAGCTGTTTATTTCAAACCATAAATTTTTATTGAGCAACCCTTTTGACTGAAAAACATTCAAGATTGTTTCAACGAAATTCAGGGCAATATTTTCATATGACAGAATCGTGATGAATAAAGCCATAGATATTTGACCCAAAGAAGAACAAGAAACTTAATACCTGCTTAATTATATTGTACCTAGATTTTATAGAACAACTAACGAAGTAGAATTTTCTCAAAAGGAATTTAACGAAACAGTTGAACAACTTGTCAACGTTCTGGTACGTAAAGAACAAACTGCGCAAAAATTAAATGAACGGAACTGGAAGTGAATGAATTGGATGACGATTCGATTATATTAACTTACCTTGTCTTGCCATAGTTATTGCAAAACTAGTTGTAATTATTAAATCAACGAACAAGAACTGGGCGTCTCCAATCATGGAATGTGCCTAAAAATATTAATATTCAAATAATTGCAGTCATAAGTAAATTAAGAATATATTATATCATCAAGGCGAAAGTACATAACCTTGTCCCACACTTTTTAGAATGTGCCTATTTCGATGTATTTACCTCAACTCCTGATGCTTTGACAGTGAAAATCTCTAGTTGAACGCTATTATTTATTTATCTCATGGCTTATAATTACCTTCTTCATGTAGCATGTCTTTTGAGTTGGTTAACATCATAGCTATTTGAATCTTATTCATCTACAGCAAAGTACTCCAGCACATGTCCAAAGTACTCCAGCTTTCCCTTCATTTTGTTTTTTTTAACCTCGGTAGTTTTGCTGAGAAGTTCCAGTATTGTAGAATTTCAAATCTTCTCCACCAAAAAATTGTTTAAAATTCTTCTATAGAATAAGTTTTAGATCACTTTTATTCACAGTTCCATTCCCCATTTTATTCTTTCGTTGTTTAATACTGGTTCCACAGACCGTGAACGCTTCGGACTCTATTTAGACTGGTCCATATTTTCCACAGTGGTTGATATTGGGTTTTCTTCATTAGATTCAGATTCCTTAATGAGATTATTACTCACCCAACATCGGAAGAAAAAAAGAAATTGAGATTTAATTCAACCACAATAAATCAAGACTTTATTGGTTTCTAATGTTTACATTTATTCGAGTCACGTTAAACTAACCTACGGCAACGGTTTTTACTTAGATATCATTGAACTACAAACTGATGTTTGCACTTCTGCTGACCCATTAATTTATATTATGCATTGAAGATTCGTGAGGAAGGTAGTTCCAGAGTATAAATAATTATTTGCAACGATTTGGCATTTGGTAGAGCGTGGCTGCCTGCCATTCAGCTAAGCATGTTTCAGAATTCTATTAGTTTGTGTCTTGGTGTGAAGATTCGCGGTTTTTAGTGGCGGCTATCTATATTTAAATCTTCAAAAATCTATGTCTTTATTGATCAGCATGTTTCCAGAAGCACATACTTAGCTACTGAGAAAATAAGGGAACAGTCTGCTCCGCAAGTCGATTTAAAATAAATATATTAATTATTGCTGCTACTTAATAAGATTTCTTACCCTGTAAAGAATTAATACCGATAAAAATTGAATGAGACTATAGAGAGCCATGTATTTAAACAGCGTAAAACTGGTCACCAGCGCACATCTTCCTTCCAGCATTAAATGAACCAAGCATGATATGTTTGGAATTGAAGAGGTAAACGGAGCTGCGACACTGGCTTCAGCTTGAGATAATGATACACCAACATGAGCTGCTTTTAATGCCTGGAAATAAAGATTAAATGATCTTAGTTTTATACATTAGATCAGCATAAATGTCTATAATTTTTGCAAAAAAGTATACAACTCCGATTCGTATCAAATTTTAATTAACCCTTGTTTTCCGACACATTACCACTATATTTAAAATACATAGATTATCCATTGTCATTTATAAAGCAGAAATTTTACAAAATGGAAGAAAGGAAACAACAAAACACCAAAAATAATTCAGAAATACTGACAAGAAGAAATTAGAAGGTAACAAAACGTTATATATAAAAAAAATGAAATAGAATGTAACAGGTTTTGGTTACCAATATTAAAAAAAGAAATCAGCAGTAATAATACACCATCATTAATGAATTAATAGGACAGAGATAAATAATCCATAATTAAACAGGTTTATCAAGTACTTGGAACATTTTAAAAGACATACAAGTCCAACAGAAGAGAACCCCGTTCTTCTGATTCTAGATAATCATCGCACACAAATCTTTAAGTAGTAACATTTGCAAAAGATAATTTCATTCATTTATTAAGTCTGCCACCACATAGCAGCCATAAAATCCAGCCATTCGATCGAGCATTTTTCAAACTATTAAAGCTTATTATGAGAGCGTCACTGACAGCTGGACCAGTTCCCATCCAGGACAGGTTCTCCCCATTTACTATGTGGCTGGTCTCTTTTTCACAAGCATTTGCAGAAACTGTTACTGTAGATATAGAAAGAGAGGGCTTTCGGTCAACAGGAATCTACCCAATAGATAAAAATATTTTTCGGACTTAGATTTTATGCCAGCGGAAGTAATAGAGCAAGATTAAAATGAAAATTCAGATGATGAAGTTCATATTTTTATTCAGTTTCAGCAAGTAGAACTTGTTATGATAGGATAAAGCCCCAGCAGTCATCAAAATCGAAAATCATAATTTCTGTACCTGGTCCTTCAAATATTGAGAAAGAAACTGTTACTGGCATAAAAGATTTCCAGCCGTCACCAAAATAAGAACAGTCAGTAATTTCACTTTCAGACATTACTCAATTCCCAAAATTAAAATAAAAAAGAAACGAACCAGGAAAAGTTTGAAGTCAACCCTAGTAACATCGACACCTACTAAGGAGCAACTTGTAGAAGAACAAGAAGAAAAGGGATGCAGAAACAGAGAAGCACAGGAAAGCATTACTGAATAATCAAAAAAATCAAATCTCAAAGTGCTGCAGTTCGTGCTGCCAAAAGGAAAATTTTCGACGGATCATCATCTGATGGTCAGTAGCACTCTCCTACCAAAAAAGTATTGAATCTTGTGACATTCATTTTTCCAATAACGATGAAGAGCAAGACATTGATGTTGTATCAAATATTTTACCTGATGATTTTGTCATATTGAAGGTTTTTGGAAAAAAAATCATACAGATTGTCGCCAACGTCTGCCAAGTAAATGATGATGGTTATAAAGGCGTATTTTTTAAGCGACTGCGCACAACATTTCGTTTTCGTGACACAACGGAAGATGCCTTTTTTCGAAAGAACGATATTGTTTTAAAGCTTTCAAATAAAAATTTATATTTCAATAAAAATCAGCTCTTTCAGATTTTCAAGTTCAAGTTCTCTGACGACCTCGCCAAATACAGTTCTTTTTTAGATTAACGTTTTCTATTTTAAATTTCAAAATAGGCTTCAGTTTCTGACATTACTTTCTCATCGGAGCGATATCTCTTGATATCGATAAGGTGGCATTCGCTGGGTGCCAGATCAGGACTACACGGTGGATGCGAAAGCAATTTAGAGCCTAATTTGTCCATTTTTGCAATCGTTGTATTGTCTTGGGGAAACAAAAATTTTTCTTGAACAAATGAGGCTTTTTCTTTGCGATTTCGGTCGTTAAACGCTCCAATAAACCAATATAGTAGTCGCTGAAATATTCAATGAAAATAATTCCATGTGGGTCTCAAAATATACAGGCCATAATCTTTCCGGTGGCAGTTTATTGCCTCTTTGGTCGCTTTGGACGGCTTTCTCCGCGTGCAGTATGACTGCTGATTTGATTCCAGAGTGAAGTGATGGATCCGTGTTTTATCCATTGTGACATACCGATGCAAAAACTACGACTGCCACGAAGACGTCGTGGGAATCAAAAGAACTATGAATAAGTCTTATTAAGGGTTATAACATTTATTATCAAAGAAATTTCTCAGATATTTCTCAGGTAAAAACTGTCGTTTCATCACGCTATCTAATTTAAAGCAAGCAATATGTATGTATATATACCGGGGTTCTCAAGTTTGTAAAAAGAACTTGAGAACAAGGTTAAAAAGATTATTTAAGGTAGTAAAAATGCTATATCTAATATGATAAAATACTTACCCCACAATCGTTAGCACCATCACCGACCATGGAAACTATATAATCCAGTTTTTGTAAATAAGTAATCAACTCCGTCTTCTGATCAGACTTAAATCTCGCAAATATGGTAGCTTTTACTAAAAGACCAGCAATTAGATCCGGATAATGTGTTCTTAATTTACTCCACGTTTTTCCCTCGACGGCTATATGGTAGTGCTGGAATCAATTCAAGATATTTATAAGTTAAAAGGAACGTTGTTGTTTAAAAATATGACGAATACCTTTTTTATGTAATAATATTTTTTTATCTAGAATAAAAAAATTCATTATCTCACACACACTGTAGACATAGGCGTAAATTTAAGCATCTAGAACATTCGGAAGGCCAAGGCGAACAATAGAAAGGAATATTTTGGTAAAACACAAAACTTTTTAACAAATATTGTTGTATTTTAAAATTAACTTACATCTCTATCGATGCTAACAACCGAATCGGTAACTAACGCCCTTCCCACCTCTTCATACTGGAGTCTTGTAGTTTCCATCTGGTTTTCATCAGCTCTGGTTGTTTCGACTGTGAGAATAAATATTTTATCTGACTTCCTAACCATTCCACAGTCATGAGCCACTGAAATGGCTGTTAAAATATTATCACCTAAAATGTATAATAAATTTAAAAAATAGGACACATCTCAAGTTCTTTGAGAAATGAACTTTTAAAAAACAATTTGTTTTGGAATTTTGAAAGTATCTGTGAAGAGTGAAGTAATACAAACCTTAAGAAGGAACAAGTAGAAAAATAAATATGTGAAGCGTACTCTTAAGTTACTCCACAAAAATGGAATAATTTCGAAAATATCGATATTTTCTTGACAATATCGACCCAGTTATAATAAATCTTAATGACGACAGTGGCAGTGAAAGTGAGGAACACGGGAGTATAGAACATATGTAAAATACACAGTTTTAATTATTTATGTAGGTACCTACGTATTGTAGGTACCTACAAAAATGTTTTAGAACCCCTGACAGCCACAAAATGTCAATAATATTAATTCCTAAGATATTTATAGTTAAAAATTTTTTATTTCAAATCCTTTATAAAAGGTATATAATAAAATGCCCAAACGGTGTAAGTTATGAGTACGTTAACATCATAATAACATCAGTTAATATGATGTTATTATGATGTTAACGTACTCCTCGAAGTAGTTACAGTTCCTCGAAGTAGTCCCCGGTATATATACAACAGCTCCTCGAAGACACTTCGTCTCAGGACCATATAACCTATATAGGGTCATAAGTCGCCATGTGACCAATTTCAACGGTAACTTAAACATCCTAATTTGTAATTATATATAATGTAAAACAACTTCAAATTTTAAACATTTAAAGGGTTTTTACCCATATATTTGGGTGGCTCATAGCATGTATACCCCGTTTACACTGATGATGGAATTAACATTCCGAAAACGTTCTGTAATGTAATTGTGATAGCCCGTTTGGGCATTTTATTATATACTTTTTATAAAGGATTTGAAATAAAAATTTTTGTGATATATGGTATACAGCCAGCTACAGGAACTTAGTTTCCTAGTGGATATTTATAGTTATCCTATAGAAAAAAGATATTTGCTTCAAACCTGTTTCTGATAAAATTTGGCATCTCTGTTGGTCATAACAACCTTTACTGTAAAGTCAAGGTGGGACAGACTCTAGGATAAAATATTAATGCTCTTTTACTCATTCAATATTTCCAAAATCCCGAGCTTTGCTATGATCTTGTTTGAGTTTTAATATGCATGAAACAACAACTTGAAAGCTTTGGAAGACGCAGTCTGGTTCCGTACATACATTTTTTTTATATACATAACAGCAGTTATATATATATATATATATATATATATTATATATATATATATATATATATATATATATAAAATATATATATTCTCCACCTTGCTCTATGGTGTTGAAGCCTGGACAATGACAGAAGCAACACAAAAAAGAATCCAAGCATTCGAACTCTGGTGTTACCGTAAAATGCTCAGAATATCCTACATGAGTCATACGACAAATGCGGAAGTCTTGCAGAGGATGAATAAGGAAAGAGAGCTTATGCTTATAATAAAAGAACGGAAAACACAATATTTTGGTCACATCATAAGAAATCAAAAGTATGAACTGCTCCACCTTATAATCGAAGGCAGTCAATAGCAAAAGAGGACCAGGAAGAAGACGCAACTCTTGGCTTAAAAACCTACGGCAATGGACGAACATGACCTCCATAGAACTATTCAGGGCTGCTACAAATAAGATTAAATGGGCAAATGTAATGGCCAACGTCCTTAAAGATAATTCACCGTAAGAAGAAGAAGTTGACATTTGTGTCTGGGACACAAATCTCAACTACTGGGACAAGGGCGGTTTACTTCGCATTATGCATATTTTGTATTACTTGTATTCAATACATAATTCTGTTTATGGAAAAATACTTTTGAAATCTTTAAAATGCATGCATCTTTAAACTACTGCATCAAATGAGTGTCAATTATTGGTTCCTTTCTAGGTTTTATCATGCCGACAATCAAGGGTCAGATGTTGTCTTACTCTGAAGAACAAATGGAGGCCACTATAGCAGCTGTATTGGCCGGCGAGGTCGTTGCAAGGACAACAAAGAAGTTTAAATTTGCTCGAGCCACTCTGACATATAAGGTTAAAGGAATTACGCCACAATGTCGAAGAATAGGATAACGGATTTCCTGTTGGAAAAGATACTTTACTGGACAGTGTTCAACATCTAATCATACAGTTAAAACGTAAAGATCCATTCACAAACAATAGGCCCGGAAGGAACAGCTAAAAATCTTACTGTAAGCAGATCTTCAGTAACAAAAGAAAATATCCAAACATGATTTAAAGAAGTACGCGAATACTTGGATAAAAATGAACATAGGTCTATTTTATGGGATTCTTCCAAAATTTTTAATAGTGATGAATCTGCATTTTTCTTAAACCCGAAATAAGGCAAAGTCCTAGCACGTAAAGGAGACAAAACTGTGTACCAGCAAGTTAACAGTGACGAGAAGGAATGCCTGACTGTCTTGGTTACCGGCAACGCAGATGGTCAGGTACCATCGCCTATGGTAGTGTTTAGGTACTACAGAATTCCGAAAGAAATGGCTATGAGTATTCCCCTGAACTGGAGTATAGGAAAATCGGATTATGGGTGGATGTCTGGTGAAACTTTTTTTGAATTTATAGCGAATATTTTTCATCCCTGGCTAGTGGACAACAAAATGGCTCCTACTAGTAGTTACCTGTTATACTTTTTATTGATGGACATGCTTCATATCTCACGTTGCATACTATACCCTGTTTTTTAACCAGGAGGAGTAAACCAAAAAGACAGATTCACACCCAAGAAAGTTACTAGAAAAGTCACCAAATACATCTTCTTTTTTTGTTGTATATCTCGGCCTTGCGGTAATTGAGTAACCAATATCGGACAACCTTACACGTCAATTCTAACCTAACTTTATGTTTTAATAACATTATTTTTTAATTCACTTCCAATATATATTACAATTATTACAATAAAAAAGGACGTTTTTCACATTTAGTCCTATGTATATATATTTAAATATAGGGTGATCCAGTTTTATAGATCTTTTGAGTCGATGGTACTTAATTTAGAGAATATTTTGATCCAGAGAGTCAATATTGTTACAGATCTACATAAGTATGGTTTTTCACAGAAAGTTGTCTTTTAATTTGCAAATAGATCTTATATGCAACAAAGCTATGCAAATGCATGTATCAAAAAGTTAGAGAGAGTTCAAAGATTTCTGAAATACTGTTCTTTTAAACTGCGTAGACCATATTCTTATTCTGATGTGATTAATTTCTTGAATCTAGGTTTTTTTTTCTTACCAGAAGAATTAACTTTGACTTTGATCATTATTTTTAAGCTTAATAATCCAATCTCCTGAATTGCTGCAGCCAGTTTGTTTTACATATTCCTTCCCATTCACTGCTTTAGAATTGACTTTTTCATTTCATATCACAGAATAAATTATGGTTCAAATATAGGTGTGGTCCTACTTTTCATGCATGGTAATCAGTTACCTCATTAGATAGATTTAACTTATGTATATTATACTTGCAATTTCTTTAATGCTGGATTCTTGTTTAATTTTGACAGTGAGTTTGTCCCATTTGTTATCAATAAATAAAATTTACTAAAAAATACTGGATTTCTGTGAGATAATCAACTAATTCAATCTATTATGTTACATTCTAGTATAATTTTGTAGTTTTCTTGTGATGATCTACAACAGGAAGAACAAAACCAACTGTATCAATACAATCAAAGTAAAACACAACATTACTATTGTTCTTTTATCGTGATGAAAACAAAATGAAAATAAATGCTTCTTATCAAGTGTACACAAATTTAAAAGATAGTTGCCGTTTTTCTTATGATAATTAAATATAAATATCACACATTTATAAACACTGTAAACTCTATTTATTATAATATATCAGCTAGAAAAATATCACACTAAATACTATTATCGCATATCACCAAGTCCAAATGAACAACTACACCATTTTGAATTTCTTGATTTATTTTTTCAGCAAAAACTGAATCTATTTCAGATATTTGAGCAAGAAAGTTTTGTTTTTGGTCAGCAGCCCAATGTATAAACAATTCTTTGAATAATTTCCCTTAAAAAATAACTATGGTAAGACATTCATAATATACACAATAAATCAATCATCCTATAAAGTAAGATAAACAATCTATAGTTATGCTATGTATTATTTGCTGCATTGAATCTGCATATGTAAAGTAAAAATATCCCTAATTAATTCTATTGTTGAAAATAGTTGAATTCGCAACACCTAAAATTAGCACATTACTTTAGTAGGTCTTGATTTTAATAATAACTATTCTGTAAAACTAACCTGCTGCCTGTTTTATTTTTACTACCGTGGCTGTTATTTTTATTCCAGAATTATCAATTTTCATGTTTGTACATGTTTATAGTAGGTACATTATTTTTCATTTGATGATAAATGATCCAAACCTACTCGGCGTTTTTAAGGTGGAGAAGAATAATTACCACTAGTACTTGGCATTGAATCCATAATGTTCTCTTAATAACACTAGTATGTCGCTAAATAGTTCTGAAAAGAACTGTTTTTTATATAAATGCAAACGAAAAATCTAAAGATGTAAGAAATAACACTGAAAATACAGAAAATTGTCGATATAAATTTTGAATTTTAAAATTTCACAAATGTCATTAGTGTCAATATATCATAATTTAGTGGAGTAAACTTGCCTGCGCTTCGACCAATTACAAACAAGCATTATGGCGCGGAAAATTTGAATTACTCCTCCTGGTTTAAAAACAGACCATAGTAGGTTTTGTGCAGATAACGGCATAATTCGTACGGCCCTTTTTCTAAACGCAACCCATTTGATACAGCCCATGGACGTTACCATTTTTCGCACTCTTAAAGAGGGATGGAAAACTAAAGTACAGCAATGGCGAATTGACAAGTCGAGCTTAAAAAAATATTGAAGAGTAAGCACTGTAAGCACAAAAACTTTTACAGTTTAGAAAGATTGAAGAATGGAATGGAGATAAAGATGTGTTACTTTTTTGTCTTTATAAAACAATTGCCTATGATTATTGAAGAAAACGGAAGAGATGAGAGAAGAAACTGACCAATATAATAACTGTAAGAGTAAAGAAAATAATAAACAGAAAAAACAGTTAAAAAAAATCCCCAACAATTCTGCAGATGAAATATATGACGTGACCACCACACCAGATACATATGACACCTGTCAAAAAATTACAGACACATGCGTTGATCCCTTCAACTTCACATAATAGTATTCCAAATATTAATGTGATTCTATTGTGAACTGTGTATTAATGTGAACTATTAGATCATTATTGTGACAAGCACTGGTGACAACAACTTTTTTTAGTGTCAACTACAGGGACATTTGCAACCCCAAAATTTTGTTTATTTTCTGAATAACCTTGATGTTTTCATTAACCTAATTATAAACACATTATTTTAGAAGCATCATATTACCTAAGTTTTCAAATAAATGCGTCTTTATATCCAAAATTACTTTTTTATAGTAGATTTACCTTATACAGTGCGTTAAGTTTTGGATTAGGTATACACTCTATAAATGGCAACACTGCGCGTCGTCGACTTGCACTACATATCTGCTTCGTTGACTCGTCGCCCGTCGGCAAATTTGTCATATTGTCATTATACCGTGGTTGTTTAAAGGTATAACAGCGTAGAGTTTTAATTTATTTTTGTAAACATGCCTGTTTATATGGCCGCGGAAAAAGCTCAAATAATAAAATGGTTTTATAGTGGCAATTCTGCGCAACAGTGTGTAGATTTATTTTCTGTGTTTTTTTAGGGAAGACCAATTCCTTGTGTACAGTCAATTTATAATATTGTTAAAAATTTTGAGAGTTGTTATTGCCTCAAAAATTGCAGAAAATGTCACGCTCAAGAAGTGTTACCAGAAAAAGTTGAGGAAAGAGAATACCGGGATACACAAATTTGTGCAACAATGAGGTAGATTCAACACGTTCAAGTAGAAGCGTTGCTAGAGAGTTAGATGTTAGCAATGTTACTGTAACGAAACTATGGAAAAAGCACGGTTACAAGAATTTTAAATATTCGAAAACGCAGCAGCTTTATCCAGACGATTACTTTCGAAGGATGGAGTTTTGTGAAACTCTAATAACGAAGGCTAATAGCGAACCAAATTTTATTAAAAACATTTTATTCACTGATGAATCTTCTGTTTCGTTAGTAGGGAGACACAATCCTTCCATTACGAGGTATTGGGCGCGGGAAAACCAGCACATAAGTGTTATTTACCGAACTCAACGTCCTCAAAAAGTTAACGTCTGGACTGGCATTTTAGGAGACCACATAATAGGTACATTTTTTATTGAGAGCAACTTGAATAGTAGAGTATACCTCGATTTGTTACAGAATCATGTTCTTCTCGCTATTCTCAATCTTCCTGATGTAAATCTGGAGAATGTTTGGTTTCATCAAGATGGCTGTTCAGTTCACAACGCTCGAATTATTAGGAAGTATTTAAACAATACTTTCCCGAATCGAGTTATCAGTGGAACAGGCGATATTAAGTGGCCTGCGCGATCTCCAGATCTTAAACCCATGGACGTCTTTTTTTGGGGACATTTAAAAAGCATTATCTACGCTCATCCTGAGGCTAGAGCCCAAAATTTGGATGAATTAAAAAATCGAATAAGAGAAGTCTCCAATTCTGTTACAGCAGAAACTCTTTCATCTGTTCGCAGAAGTTTTTATGACAGATTGGGGTACTGTTCAGCCGTAGAAGGTCAACTATTTGAACCTATTTTATTAGGAATAATATTTTAATTTTCAATAAGAGTATATTTTTTATTTTATCTTTTTAAAGAAATACGCTTTTATTTTTAATTCAACCACAAAAAAATTTTCACATTAATAAAAATCGATAACAATGCACCGATTAGGTGTGTGCATTTTTATCGAATGTCCTACTATTAAAATCGGCTATACGTAATGAAACATGAGATTGGACGACAGATAGTTACATCCCAAACGTTGTTGTGAGTTACTAAACTAAAATAAATGATTTTCTGTCGGTGTAGATACTGAGATAGTCGCGGGTCGGAGAACGAACATTTGCAACGTTGCCGACTTTAGCGCTCCGTATAGTGTGCAATACCTAATCAAAAACTTAACGCACTGTATCAGCTGTAAGTGACGAGAATTAAAGGCGCGCGGGCTTTGAGGCGTCTCAAAGAAACACCCGCGGGCTCCCTAGTAACACACAAGCTAGACTTAAATCACTATAACTAGATAATTCCACATCGTTCCGATTATAATATACTCATACAACGATTTAAGTTACAGCTTTAAGCCCCGCCGAAAAGGCAAACATATATAAAGATAAGCTAAATTGTTGGGAGTTGGTCGATAATAAAAAATTGTATCGTTAAGGACCTACATAAATGTTATAAATTAATTGTGGTCTTAGTGTTAGCGTTAGTTAAAGTAAATAAATTAAACTAAATATTATAGATTGTTTGGCACAACCGTTATACACACCTGTTACCATAACTGTTCTAATATTGGCATTTTGTAGTATTTTTATCACAGGAGCAGTTTCTTCTTTTAAAGGATTGTGCATAATTAAAAATCCAAGAAAAGTTAAATCACATTCTATCTGAAAAACAAAACACAAACATATATAGGACAGGTATTTTATGTCTCTGTAATCGGAAACAAAAAGGTTTCCTGTTCTCTGTTTTCAAAGCATCTCCCGTGACAATTCAACAATGTAAATGTAGACATTTCATATTTCAAAAGGCACAAATAAAAATTGTAGCATAAACAAACAAAATAACTAGCAACAACAAATAAATAAATGATTTGTAAAACATAAAGAAAACTTAAACGATGTAAAAATGATATTGTGAATGTTATTTCCTAGTACCTGCATAATTTTAGATACCAACTACAGAAGAACTTGCCTTAATGAGAAGTCTTTATTAAAGGATGTCTTGCTCTGTAGAAAAACTTTGTTTCTTTATTCTTTAATTATCCATTTTGTCTGTTTTTATACTGCACATATCTACAAGCAATCGCTAATTTGTTTATTTTATAAAATAATAATTAATATCTGTATTTGCTAGTAATATTCACATTCTTGACCAATTTCACAAAAATTAAAACTTTAAAAACTCTTGGCATTGAAAAGGCAACACCCAGTAAAACATCAAGAATATTATGAAAATTTACTGATTTTAAATTTGCTGGTCATTAAATACTTCAGAAGCTTTAGGGAGATAAATAGCCAATGACGTATAGCAGTATACTTTTAAAAGAAGGTTTTTAAGAAATAAAAAAATAACCATCGGGTATTGTTAGTAATTTATTGTTTAATTTCAGTTAATCGAGGGCTGAGAACCACAGGGTTCCAAGCGACAGTTTGTACAAAATTTGTTTAACAGAAATCTATTGTTCTTTAAATTCTGCATAGAATGGACCGCAGGAGTGTGACGTCACGACTGTTACATTGTCGTTATTACTTTCCAAACAAACGTTGAAATGTCAAATCTCAAGACTTTTTAATTCCTATAAAGTTAACATTTTGCTTCCTCTACTACTTTTTCTTGTAAGTATAGTGTTTTTTACGATAATACCATCATAATTCAGAGTTCTATTTCTATGAAATATGGTTTAAAAGTTTAATTAAAGAAATTTTAACCTTACTTTATTGATACTTGCATTTTATTCCTATTAGCATAAAACAATGTGCTTTATTATTTACACAACCTTGTAAAATGGTTGTAGTAACTATTAGAAGACTTAAATATTGCAAAAAGCGGAAAGATTCTATAAAATAAATGAAAAAATAACGAAAAATACAAATTATCCACACTAAACAAGGTTTGTTTGGAAAGTGAAACTGACAGATGTCAATCAAATCTACGTCATCACTCCTGTGGTCCATTGTACTGGAAGATCTGCCATTTGTTGACAGCGCCGCAGTCAAATAGTTCCAAGTGCACGAAATACTTTAAGGTTACAAATTTACTACAGTGAGAGTATTGGTGAAAGTTAAATGTCAGTTTTATCAGTTAAAATTATCATTTTCTCGTTTTGTCAATGTTCTCTGTAACTTGGACTCAATGGACTCTGTTGGGAATTTGAGGTCAAGATTCCTCTCTGAGGATAGTTTTATGCTAGTACCGCCTTTTTTCCAAGATTGATCCAAGATGTATAAAGTTATCTACTTCCTCTATATCTCTTCCATTTATTTTAATTTTAGTTTCTTGGCTGCTGTTGTTTAAGAGTTTCATTTGTTCTGTATTTAGTTTAAGGCCCATTACATTGAAGTACTTTGCAAGCTGGTCAATCTTCTTCTGCAGATTCTTGTTATGTTCGGTTGGGAGACAAATGTCATCTGCGAACTTCAAGTCCTCCAACTAGTTGTGCAAGTTTCATCTAATACCTGTTTTCGCTTACGTTCTGATTAGAAATAATGTCGGGGATAGTAAGCATCCTTGTTTAACTCCGCTTTGTATAGCTATATCTTCTACCATTTCTCACACATGTTCCAGTCTGGCTCTGCATCTCTTCTACATCAGAGAATTTCAGAGTCTTTTACATTTGCTCTCTGTTTATACTATCGAAGATCTTTTCGAAGTCAATAAACATTAATGTAATTTATTATTTTTGTTGGAAATAAGTCCCAATTTTACTTTAAAACAAGTTTGTTTAATGTTTCGATTTCTACTTCGGAAATCGTTCTCAAAATACAAAACATTAAAATTTAACAAATTTTGTTACTTGGTGAAAAATTCTTTTAATAATTTAATTTCACCTGACTCATTCATACTGACAATTTATTCAGACGTATGTTATACATTTTGGATGTGACGTTCATAGTATCAGGTACGGTACGTACCGGAGACCTGACGATGCATATCAAATTGTAGTAAGCGATACCGGTCGTCCGAGGTAAAATTAATTGATTGTAAGTCTATTATTTATTTCTTTATTTTTAAGCAATTAATTTTGTCATTTAAGTATGTGTGCTTGTTTCCAGTGAAGTCAAAATTTGACCAAAATACCACAAAATTGCTTACTACGTTTACTACACAGTTGTTACTGAGTTCTATATAATGATATATGTAATGTACTGATTCAAAATACTTACCTTATCTCTTTTCACCTTTTGCGCCTCTTTCCACTTGAAATTTTCCGGCAAATCCTTATAGCCTAAGGCAATAACTCGGTAACCCTGGGCCGTATACTGAGCTAACTTCGAAAGAAAATTTTCCGGAATGGTTTCCTCGCGGCACATATTCAGCAATTTTTCGGGAGCACCTTTGGTAAATGCCACCATGTGGGGTTGACGTAGATCACGACATATCACAGACATACATTGAAACGTGGAAGAAAAGGCAAATTTTCTTAAAAGTGCTATTTCGTAAGGTAGCTAAAATGTCATATTTGTTGTATATGATATTTGAGGGATGTAGAAAATTTGGTATAAAATAGATCGGGTATAGAGTTATTGTATGAGTGTAAAAGTGAAGCAATCAAATATTAGTAAGTTACTCACACTTATGATGTTTATATTATACAAAATATTCAGAAATGAATCTATTTTTTATGTGAATTTCTTTGGATATTCTTTCTTGCATTTTATTGTCTATACTTCCATTTCAGATGTCCGTACAGTAAAGGAATGTGCAATTTCCCTTTGAAAACCAGTATTTAATAGACTCCACAGTAATAAAGGTTTTAAAGACTCTAAAAGTAATAGGAGTCTCCTAGACAATAGTTAATGAGCTTCTAATGGTTTTATTTACAAGTGCGCTATTGGAATATAGCCGCAGGCATATTTCTTTACTGCACGGACATCTGAAATGAAGTTTAGGTTCAAACTTCGTAACTTATGATGAACATGTTAAAAGTACATGTGTTAACAGCCATGATTAAGTACACCGTGAAGATGAAGCAGTGCGAGCAACAATCTGTCTGAATAACCGAAAACACTATCATTTATTAATAACAAAACCTGGCAGATACGCCACTGAATGAATGCCGAGCTTTCGATCTGTTCGTCCGTCGGAGAGATCCTGTAACTCGAAGCGAAAATACAGCGTTTTACGCATCTAAACATCAATTAAATTTGTTGTAGATGCAGATATAGTTGTCCTTCTAAAAATTCTTATTTTCCTTGTACTTTTTTAGTCATCATGCATTTCTCGCATCTGTAATATATTATTGGTCTAATAACGATGTTCTAACTATTGGATTTCCACATTCTTATTCGGGTTTATATCCTTCTCGATGCTTCTCACATTTTAGATGTGTTTATAATTTGAATGCTTCTTCGATCATTACTTTCAATATTCTATTCTATTTTCTATATCTTATCATTTTATCTTTGGGATACCTTATCCAAATAATAACTGAAAAAATATTTTATGAAATATACAGGGCAGGAAAAATATCAGTAGGGTGGCTCAAATCGGAGTTCGTACCATTGCCCAAAAAACCAGAAGCAAAAGCTTGTAAAGACTATAGTACCATAAGTCTAATGAGCCATCTGCTGAAGCTGTTTTTAAGAGTCATCCACAAAATAATTTACCGGAAATGCGAGGAACAAATTGCGCCCATTCAGTTTGGATTTATGAACGTCGTTGGTACGATGGAAGCTTTATTTAGCGTGCAGGTGTTATTTCAGAAATGTAGAGATGTCAGCCGTGATGTTCTTGCATGCCTGATTGACTGTAAGAAGGCTTTTGATAGAGTCAGACATGAACAAATGATGGAAGTGCCGAAGAGGACAAGGAGTGACGGAAGAGACCTAAAAATAATAGCTAACCTGTATTGGAATCAATCAGCGGTGCTCCGAATAAATGGAAAATATATCAGGTCAAAATCTTAAGAGGAGTGAGACAGGGGTGCATAATTTCACCACTGATATTCAATCTGTACTCGGAGCACATTTTTGAAGAGGCTCTTCCAATACCATTGAAATGCTGCACAACTATTTTGTTCCTTATTATGGGAAACAAGTAGAAAATATGGACTGGATATAAACATCAGCAAAACCAAGCTAATGAGCAATTACTTGGGAACTATAATCTATGAGTCGTGGGACAATACCCAAGAGATTAAATATCGCATCGGAAAGGCAAAAAGTGTATTCTTGACTATGAGCTCTATGACCTCACCCTAGAAAATAAAAATAAGGCTCTTTAAATGTTACGTTTACTCAGTGCTTCTATACGGAGTGGAAACCTGGCCATTGAAGGCCAAAAATTCAGGCTTTTGAGTTATGGTTATACAGAAGGATCATGAAGATACCATGGATAGACAAATTCACCAATGAAGAAGTACTATGGAGGATGAACACAACTGCGCATTTGGTCAACATCGTGAAGGACCGTAAGCTATAGTACTTGGGACATATAATGATAAATCAAGGCAGATATGAGCTACTCCAATGCATTTTGCAAGGTAAAATTGAAGGAAAAATTGCTCCAGGACGAAGAAGAATATCCTGGCTTGCTAACCTGAGAGCGTGGTATAGAAAGACCTCAACACAGCTATTCCGTATAGCAACCAACAAAGTCACCATAGCCAGAATAATCGCCAACATTCGGAACGGACAAGCACCCTAAGAAGATACCTTATCCACTTCCTTTATAACGCATTCAGAAGTTGCTTTTTCTATAGTCATTTCCTCGTTTGATTTGTTTAGTTCCGTTCTTTTTCTTATATTTGTTGGTGCATGTACTACTTTTGGTTTTAATCATTTCAAATGCCAAGGTCATCAGTATTTATTAGTGTTTGGGTTATTTCCGCAACGTAGTTCTGCTTATACATCGTTATTTAGAGCTGCTGTCAATAAAGTCACGATAGCGAATATGGTAGCCAACATGATATCCAACAATCGATAACGGTCATGGAACTAGAAGAAGTCTGTTTAGCATATTCATGTCACAGTTTTTCAAGATCTAGCTGTGCTGTTGTTTGTTTCTCCTTGTCTCTGTACGTATTTCCCTTCTACGGTTTATATCTATAAAATTTGTCACGGCTCTTATGTTTATTAAAACATGCTCCACCACGCATAATTCATATTTAAGTACACTTCATCTAATTTACATACCGATGCACATCATCGGCGTCATAGCCCGTGACGTCACATGATACCAACACGAAATATTTAGGTGATAGGTGTGTTCTTTTTTAGAATCACTTTGCCGAGTACACTGGCATTACAGCCACTAGACATATTTTATTATATACGCGTAGAAATAATATTTAAAGATTTCCATTAATGTTAACTTGAAGAAATACACAATAATATGTTTCATTTAATTTGTATAAATGCATTATTAGGCGTTTTTATGAAAAACATTTGTTCGGAACACACGGTAACTGTAATCGAACGAAGGTGAAATTTTGACATAAATTGGTAACACTTATTTGACAGTTGCGGTGTTGACACTTTTTGTACTTTATTATTTTGAATTTTAAAGTGAATACCTCTTGTTTTATATTTTTACCTATTTAATAAAATATGTTCTTTTTAGAACAAAATTAGTGTGTTTTATTTCAAAAATGTCACATAAGAATTTAAATAGTCGTAGCAAAGAGATGGTGATACTTTTGCAATAATTAGGTGATCTATTTGATTTAAAATGGAGTCAGGATTTTTTTATACTTTGGCAACTATGTCAACTTCGATCAATGACGTAGATAATGACGTGCATCGGTATGTAAATTAGATGAAGTATATATAAACAGCTGTACAAAGAACCTTAAGTTCATCACAGTTTTATGTTAGAAAAAGTGTTACAGTTACAAAATAAAACACAATTTTTTTAATGTTGAACTAAAATAACTGAACATTTTTCTTACAAAAATTATTTTTTTGCCCATCGAGTTAGTAGAAAGTTATTAGAAAGTTATTAGAAAGTTATTAGAAAGTTATTAGAAAGTTATTAGAAAGTTATTAGAAAGTAAGAAGTTATTAGAAGCATCGTTCTTTTTAAACATACACGCGGTCTCCAAAATAAAATGCATACATACCTCGGTTTCATTAATATCTAAAGGATTTAAATTATGGTTTAAAGTGGGTCCCACTACAGTTGGAGCTAACATATCGTAACGTGCAGTTTCTGTCATTCCAAGTTCCTCTAATTCCTAAAAATATTTATTTAATTAAATAACAAATTACCTAAAGATTAAATCTTTTAGCAAAAGCTGCTATCGCTTTGTTGAATTAAATGGCCAAATATATGGCCTAGGAGAACGAATTCGATAAACTTACCGTGCTCGAATCAGTATCAATAAAGTGGTATGACTTATTTCAGCATCCCTGCTTCATCAGCCACTCGGGCTGATACAAATTCAGAAAGTCCAATCAATGTCTCCTAAAACTTGACCACTGCAGTGGTTAGCGTACAGAAGTGTCACCTGCTTTGCTAAAAGATTTAATCCTTTACACATTTCGTATAGCCCAGGGGACAGAAAACGATATTATTAAATCGTTTTCGTTCATGGTTACCAAACAAACTGACCTTTGTCTGCCTTGTAATTGCATGCCTCTTTTTCTTTATTGATGTGGCACATTTGCAAAAACAATCTTTTTTGTAACTATTTTCTTGCCTTAAAACCCTGACATTTGAGTAGTGAAATGGTGCCTAGTTTTTAAAAGGTGGTTAACTACCGCACACGTATTTTTCTTATTTGTACAGTCACTTTTGTGTTGTGTTATTCTCTGTTTGAGCCATTGTAAAGTTTGACCTACTTAACAACTTTGACAATCCGACCAAGGCAACTTGTAGATATATATATATATATATATATATATATATATATATATATATATATATATATACATATATATATATATATATATATATATATATATATATATATATATACGCTCCCGAAGAAACTGAAGCTGTTTTCACTTGAAGATTCTTTGTGGAGGAGGATCTTTGGTTTTAGTTTCTGGTGTTCGCTGTTTCCACTACTTTTCTCCATTCTTCTCTATCTTTGATTGTCATTTCTATATTTCTAATTTCCATACTCTTTAAGGCTTCTTCCACATGTTGTCTCCATCTCAGTTTAGGTCTGGCTTTGGTTCTTTGACCTGGTATCCATTCCGTTATAACTCTAAACGGATTGTTCTTCTCTCTTCTCATTATGTATCCAAACCATCTAATTTTTGTGCTTTTATTGCTCTATCTTCTCTTATATCCTTATCGTTTTAGAAGGCAAGAATGTGTATGACGTGTTGCGTTTTCCAATGTTACACAAATTTCTCAAAAATTATTTTTAAAAATACACATTTATGGCCAAATTTTACATTTACAATGACAGGTCATAAACGGCACGTCATTCCGCGAAAATTGGTGAAATGGTACGGATACGCGTTATTTACAAATATTTTCACAGTCTACTTTATAAAGACTTTCTCCAGCTACTAATTAAGCGTTTACTAATACACATGCACATCCACACTGAACTGAACGAAAGGAGACAAAAATATAACTTACCCACTTTGTAAACTCAAACATACTTAATTCTAATGGATCACCGTTTAATACATTGTCAACTCTTGTCAAAGAATGACACGTGGCCATTATTTGAACAAGCTTTGACTCTACATCTAATTGACGAACATCGCTTACTGGATCGGAAAACGAAGCATCTGTACAAGGTATCACACAATTCATATCCAAACCGTCGTGGGTTAACGTACCTGTCTGCAAAATACCAATATATAAGTACTTATATGTACTGAAGGCAATAAAAGTCTCTAAAAATATTCTAAAAAGTATTTAATGATATTATAATCAGAGACCATTAAAGAGGCTTTAGTCATTGATGACGTCATTATTTGGTTATCCTGGACATAGTTAAATGTCACTTGTCAGTGTCAAAATCTTTGTAATAATATTAGAAAATCAAAACTAATTTAATACAAAAACTTAAACATAAAACTTACGATGTCATATTTGGAATACGAATTGATCCAATACTTACAACCATGTAACTATTTAGTGCTATAAACAAAAAAATGCCTCGAACTCTCACATTTTGAGAAATCTGTCTAAAATAACTCTTCGAAAGTGTTGTGAAAAGATTTTTAATGGATATTATTTGAAAATGAGAATTTTTGTTATCAATAGTTGAATTGTAACAAAAAAAACCAAAGAGAAAATGTGCATTCAATGATAGTGTTCTGGAAAAAATTCTTACATGAATCTCATGCTCTAAAATAACCAATATTAGACTATAACGAGTATCAGTAATTGTTTTGCTAGTACTATTTTAATTATAGCAATATATAATACATTATACGTACTTTATCAAAACAAGCAATTTTAATTTTTCCACAAACATTTATTCTGGGCGGACTTATACAAAAAATTCCAATTTTTCTCAGGCGATTCTGACTGTAGACGGTGCCCACAGCTATGGCGGCTGGTAAAGCTGGCGGTACTACGATCGTTATTATATCTAAGGTTCGTATAATGATATCTTTTAGTGGTGCCTAAAACAATTATGTGTATTATTTAATGAAATAAAGTTTTATGGCAAGAAAGTGAACACTAACACTAGAAAGATGAAGGTGGTCATTACGACCACTTTGTGTTTTCAAAAACTAATATATTTTGAATTTTCTGAATGATCTGAATGAGGTCATTCAGAATTTTTCTTCCAAACAAGTTGTTTTCGTTCAAATCAGTTGACCCAGTTATAAATCAGGATGACATAGTCAAGTATCCTACAGAGTTTTTGAATTCATTGTAACTGGCTGGACTCCCACCTAACAATTTACAATTAAACCAGTTGTAATTATGCTGCGTAACATTAATCAACCTCGTATGTGCAATATAACGAGGCTAATTAAGGAGATGATGTCTTGATCCCGCGTATACCGATGATTCCAACGAACGTACCATTTGATTTTAAACTTTTACAATGTACTGTGCCCTTGGCTTTTGCAATGACAATAAACAAACTACAAAGCCAACCGTTGGGAGTTTGCGAAATTAACTTTTCATGAGTTTTTCTGTGTTCTATGTTTTTCATGACTTTCATCGGAGTTTCCATGTTTCGTGCATGAACAATTATTCACACATCGAAAAACCGTTATCTTTACTTACTTTACTTTATCGTGTATGGACATGTCATTCAATAAATTTCTGTCCAGTATCGGGTTACGTCGGTTCCATTTTTGTTGACGAGCCACAAATCTTCGAGGGTACATCGGTGAAGACAGTTTTTGCACGTAAGAAGATGTTGTATATTCTTTGTTTCTCCACAATCACAGTTCAGATCATATTGGTCTATTTTTCCCATTTTGCCATGTTTGATTTTACTGGAGCGACCTCTGTTCTTATTTATTCTATTCACAGTTTTCCACGTTTTAAAGTCTAGAAACTGGCCGGTCCATTGAACCTGGGAAAAAGGAAAAGAGGTGGTTCATCCTACACTGTCCCAACTTCCAGCATAACGAAAAAAACGTCTGTTTTGCAGTAAGGAATATACGACCTTTCCCAGATGGTGGTCATTGAGAGCGTCGTATAATTCACGGACCAATGTTTTGTGCCTTACTGTGTCATAAGCTGCTGTCAAATCTACGAAAGTAGCCCCTGTTATAAGTTTTTCTTCAGAGATCTCTTCAATGTGTTCTGTTAGTGCGAGGACTTTACCGGTACAAGATTTGTCAGGTCTGAATCCTCCTTGTTGTGGGATGAGATGCTTGTCGACATTTTTTTTATTAGGTCTGTAGCTACTGGGATTTCCTGGGTACTTTTCTGGTTTTAACAAGACCATTACTTTAGATTTCCTCCATGATTTTGGAATTTCGCAGGTTTTGCAGCACGTGTTAGAACCTTGCAAGATCCAGTTTTTTGCTCCTTGGCCTAGATGCTTTATTTGTTCACTGCATATATCATCCACACCTGTAGCTTTCCCGTTTTTTAACCTGTTCATACCGTCGTGGAGTTACTTTAGTGTAAAAGGAGTTCCTAGGTGGGTTGTCTCCGAATCGAATCTTCTTTTAGTGTTTGGATCCTTATATCGGTTCGTAGTTCTTTTGGATTACCGCTAAGTTTTTTACAAGGTTCCATGCTATTTTGCTACTATGTGAATGTCCATTTTTTCAGGGTCTCAATCCACTTTTCCTATCTGGCTTGACTTAACTATTGGAGTAGTACTACTCCGCAGTCAACCGTTTCTTGACTAAAGGAGTCAGAGGGTTTCGTATGTTCTCATTCGTTCTTTGGGCTCAATGGACATATCGGGAACATATTGTTGTCTAGAACCTCTAGGGATAGCTTTTTTAGACACATTTTTGAGTACCTTCACAAATTTTTCGTAGTTCTCTACTTTTGGTTCAAGACGTAGCAGCTCAGAATCTAGCATGTCTGCATACTTTTGCCAGTTTGCCATTTTGAAGTTAAATCTCCTTCTGAATGCAATAGCTTGTGGACTGACAATTGGAAAGATATTTTTATACCAATTGGTCTATGCTAAGTTTTTGGTATGGGGCCTTTGGCACATAGGTTTTCAAGGTTATTACTTATATCCTCTTTTCCAAATTTGCTCTGAAAAGATGGTGGGAGTTTAGGATCATGGATTAACGTGAGGCCACTCGTTTCGGCCCATGCTTCTACTACGTCTCCATTTGCATCCGAATCTGCATAGCCCCAGAGTAAACTGTGGAAGGCTCCCAGTACAAGCTAATTGGGTTGTGATTGGAACTTAGTTGGGGGTGAAAATATAAAAGGCTGGTTTGGGGGCTTGTATACCGAGGTTATTGTGCATTTATCTCGGTGGTTATTATCTCTATACCGTGTACATCTGTTGTTCCCACAGATGATACTATGGTTTGAATTCTCACAAATACCGCGCACCCATGCTTAGTGTATGGTATCTCCGCAAACAGTTTCATACCGGAGACTTTCGGTCTTACTGCAGTTAGGTCTCTGTGGGTTTCCGGGATGCACAATACCTCACATTTCGTGTTCTTGCAGAATTCTGATAAGAACCCTTGTGGCTTGATGTTTGCCATCTGATTTGGTTTCGTCCAGTGTTGGAAGGATTAGCCGTCTACTAGTAGACGTTTCCAGGGGACGCTGTCAATAGTGTTTACTTTGTAACGATGTTATGATCGTTTAACAGTTCGAACCGTGGGAGTGTCAATATTTGCGCACCCACTTCTACAACGAGACGTCGAAGTGGGATTCGGAGCGGCTATTTAAGACGTGTGAGTAGCGGAATCAGACAGTCTTGTAGCTAGCGCTCTAGGCTCCCCGACTCGCCGGTGTATTGAACTTGCGAGCCAACCCGGACAGAGAGATTTCCGTATTGAGGATCATACTCTGTCCTTAACTAAGCGGAACCATCGGTATTGCATATTGAACATTACCGTGGGCCTGCACAGCCGAATATTTAGTTTGCGAGCGCGTTCGGAGCTCCCGCTGAATTGAAGCGGAAGCGAGTTTAAGTCTGCGTGCAATTGACTTCACCTATTTCATTTGTTTGTTATAAATAATAAATTTTTCTTTCTTCTATAGACGTTCGCCGGGGAATTTATTCATCGCGGGATGCAGACGGGGACGTAGGATTCATTTTATTTTTATTTATTGTATATATGCTAATTTAATAGATTTATTTTTATTTCAACCTGTGTTTTACTGAGTCTGTCGCCCCGAAAGAGCTACACTTGTCGCCAACCGTTATCCTTGTATATTTATGGGTGAAAAAGTAGTGAGTTTTTTGGTTTTTTTCTGTTAATTTTTTAAACACATTATTTAATTCTAAGACGGTAGGAAGTTCACCGAGTTAGCTAGTTACTTATTAAGTTTATTTTGACGTTTTACTTTCTACTTCGGAAATCGTCGTTTCAACGTCAAAATTTTCGATTAAACGATTAATTCCCATTAAATATATCGCAGAAAACAGTCAAACAAAGCCATTATTTTAAACTAAATATAATGTAAATTGATAATACTCACATGTCTGGAAATATATAAATACAAACAATACGTCATCCCAATCATCGCCACAGAAAATAGCACCAAAACGAACTTCATACTGTCCCTGTAAAATTTGAGATCGACTGGTACAGGGAAAAGAATGCTTTTAACGAGAGATCCCTTCGTCGTATCGAAACCAGTCCGCACGACTCTTGCTAGAACATGTTCGCTGCTGTAATAACGAGTCTGAATGACGGTTGTGCCCGAGAAGAGAGTATGGCGCTTGTGCTCGTCTACATCATACATTTCCGTACCGGAATGTAGAGCTGTTTTGGTTTCTGGGACACTTTCACCTAAAAAATATGAAGTCTAAATATAGTATTTAATTAATAATTTAGTTTTTGACTGATTTTATTCAGTATGGCAATTTTGGCTGCACTAATTGCTGCACATATACAGAAAACATCGACATTAAAAGATGTGTAGGGAGAAATTATACAACCGAAAGTGTCTATTTCCGATTCCAGGACAACTATAAAAACGAGAAATGCTCATAGAATACGATAGCTACAGCAATTTTGATAATGTATTCATCATATATGTGAGTAAAAGATAAATAAAAAAGCAGTGGTGGAGTACGTTGAATCTGCCTTTTTCGGTAAAGGACATTGTCTATTAGATGCTCGAAGATAACAGGGGGTAAATAGAGTAGAACATATTTTTCTAGCATCCACAGCATCGCTCGACTAACAGCCGATTGACTTCGGGGAAAACCCTCTATCTCCACAAACGCATCTGACACCCAATGTATAGATATGAGTGATTTTCAGATATGTCATTGCACTCAGTCGTCGCAGACCTTCACGGACTCCCCTACAGTCTCTTACACTGTGCCTTCTCCTGTCAACTCTGAGGTCAGTTGTTATTTAGAACGCGCTAGCCCTAGTTCGATCGTAGTTTTGAATATGAAGGAATTATCTTGCTGGACGCCGCGTTTGCTGACCATTGACTAAAAAGTCAGGTCACGACAGTAGATTGCAGCTGGCAAAAGTGCTTCGAAGCGGCCAAGAGTCCCTCCACGGGTCCGAAAGGTTATGGCCACTGCATTTTGGGATTGCAAAGGCATAATTTGAATTAACTATCTTCAAAAAGGTAAAACTATCCATAGACAATATTATTGTGCATTATTAGACAAATGAAGCAGACTCTGTGAGAAACGGCTCCATATGTAGAAGGAAACAGTGTTGTTTCTCCAATGCACTGGTTCATAACTGGCGTTATGATTTGACAATGGCAAAATTTCATGAATTGGGCTTGGAATTGCCCCCTTTGATTACTAAGTGTTCCCAAATCTGACGAAAGGGCTCGTAAAAAAATGGTAAAATAAGTTGGAAAATGTCTTATATCGTTGTATTTAGCTAAAAAGAGTATCAAATAAAATAAAATAATTTTCTAGAAAAACATCTAGTATAAAGAGATTGCTAGGATCAAAAAATCACACTGATACTACAAACCGCACGGCCTTTTTGTAATCCCCGTAGCGACATATCGCCCCACGTTGGGCGCCATGTCACTCAGGAGGCTGCGACACGATGTGTGCGGCCTATTAGACCTCCTCAGTAGCACTGGCAGGGTTGTCGTCCTCTGGAATAGACCGTACGTTATTACGGGTGTCCATGCCTGATCCGGTATATATTTGGTATGCAAACTATCACTGGTTTAGGCAGTAGTGTGCTTCGTAAGAACGTGCTTGCACTAGGTAGAGATCGAGCAAATATATGTTATGTTCAACTTTGGACACAGAAGGCCGGATGATGATGATGACTAGACTTTTCCGCACGTAGGAAACCTCGACTATGCTTTTTCTCAAGGCATATCCGCAATTCTGTGACATTTGATACCATTAATAATGTTTTTTCTTGTCTAGACTTTTTTGCATGTGGGAAATCTCTAGTCAGGTTCTTCTTATAACTGGAGTTGTTTTTTAACATCTCCATCCATTCACGGAACATTAATTTAAAAACTAATGGCACCCGCATGGACACATGGATCTTGAACAACTAATAGTTGCCGTTATTTAAGATCATCATCATAGTTAACACAATACAAAAGACACATTTGTTCTAAAAGTTTTTTTATTTACTTACCTGTTAAAACGCTTTCGTTAACGATACATTCGCCTGTAAGAAGGACGGCATCACAAGGCATTGTATATTTTGAGGAACAAAGAATAATAAGATCTCCCGGAACGAGATCGACAGGATCGATAATTTGACTACTATTATCATTTAAATATTTACGTAATACTGTTACTTCAAGGCATTTGGAAGACTCAGCTAAATCACGGATGGCTTCGCTTTGCTAAAATATTAAACAATAAAGTTGTGAATAAATTTGTAGAGTTACTGAATTTAAATATAAAATAATAGGCACTTGTCATTCGTCTTTCGTCTCCAGCCTGAAGACGAGAATACAACTCAGACTTATGCTTTGTCTCCACAAACGAAAACAAACAAACCCTTGGCAGCTTCACGTAAAGAACTGCTAGATTTCAGGCATAGCCAACATAGACCAGTTGTATTAGAAGTTAGCATCAAACCATCAATAATATGATACCGTCTGAAGACAAAGACTAATCTACAAACTACTACTTACCATGCCTTCCCACTAAATCAAAAATAATTTTTGAACGGATAAAATTTTTATAAAAAAAAGTTACTTACCCTGCGTGTCTGTAGTAAAGATGTAACACTGGAAAATATGGTTAAACCAACGACACAGAAAGCATATAGTAAGTAATCGTCGAATAACCAAAGTCCCACGGAAAAAACTTGAAATATGTAAAATGGATTTAGCACTTCTTCGATAAACAGAGTCCAGTATGGTTTTATTTCTACTTCAATTTTATTTTTTCCATACAAGTCTAAGCTAAAGATTAACAGAAAACATTAGGATGCTATTTGTTTTATTTTATTATGCAGGATTGCACAGAAATAAAAGAGAATAAAACTAAATTCTATTTACGAATAGTGACATATAGAATAGCAGTGGCGCACCCAGAATTAGTCTGAGAGGGGGTTATGAAATTTTTTTATGCTACCTTCATTTTGAGTCCCTAAAATTTGGGTTTTAGTTTAATTTAAAGTACTCAAGATAACAGTGCCAAAGATTCAGGTATCTATTATCCTGCCTACAAACCACCCTCTTTTCGCACGACTGTGGCCGCTGTAAGACATTTTGGAACACTCCCTTCTCTTATCTAGATCTTATCTATTGTTCTGAAGCTATTTTCTTGTAGAATTTTAAAGTAATTACTCTTTTAATTTGAATAAGCCACAATTGAAGGTTAAAATAAGTTTATTGACGTTTGATATTAATTCAACTTGTAAATACAGTACATTTTAGAGACGGCTATCGCCGTATTCCCGTTCTCCCCTGCCAATCCTCCCGGTCCAAGGCATGCTTTTCCTCCAAACCTCTCGATTCCATCGCTCTTCTAATTCCTTCATTCCATGAGCGTCGAGGCTTACATCTTTTTTTCTTCCAGGGGGCTTACATTTGTGAAGTTTTCGGGGCCAACGTTCGTCATGCATTCTCAATAGATGTCCAAACCATTTTGAACCTCTTCTTTCTATTCTGTCAATGACTGTTTCTGTAGCATTCATGTTATTTCTTATAGATTCGTTGGTCTTCGTTTCCTGCCTTGATGTTCTCGCCCTTCTTCTCAAATAATCCATTTCAACTGCCAACAATCTTCTCGTCAGGTCTGCAATAATTGTCCATACTTCAGAGCCATAACAAAGAACTTAGGTTTCAACTTTGGGCTCAACCATGATTTGCCCTATTCTTTTTTGTTCCTTTTGAAAATGTTGCATCTGAATTGATAACTAAATATTATGTTTTCTTCATGCTGACTTGTAACCCCCATTTTAAATATTCTCTGTATAGACGCTTTATCATAAGTATCTTAAGCTAGGACAACTTGGTCATCCGCAAAGTTCAGGGAGAACAGTACTTCATTTTCTATTGGGATTCCCATTCCCTGGCAGTGTTTTTTCCAATTTTGGAGGGCTGCCTCAATATATAAACTAAACAGTAAGGGTCACATACTGCATCCTTGTTTTAGTCCTTTAGTTACCTTTATTGGCTCTGATAGTCTATTATCGATTTGTAGGTAGTAAGTATATAGAACAATATATATATAAAGTAACACCTGTTCTGCTGACAGTAGATAATAAAACATTTTGAGACAGTTTGAAACAGTTCAAATATTCTCTAACCTTTGATCCCTAAACGTGAAGCGCAAAAAATGCGTTTAAGGTCATGCATCGTAAAGAGAAAAGGTGTTAAAGTGTATAAAAATATCAAAAACGCCACGCTCTTAAGACTTTTTGTTTGTTTGGACCGTTTTTCGTTAATTTCGAGGCTTTTTAATCGGGTTTTGAAGATTCTTGGTGCTTTTTATGATCACTTTGATGTTTCTCAACACTTCTGGCAGCCTTTCTACCATTTTTCTGGCACTTTTTGTCATTTATTCAACGCCTTAATACTCCTTAATTATGTTGCAGCGCTTTTTAGTAATTTTTACCGTTTTTTCTGCTTACAAAAGTAGCTCTTTAAAGACAGTAGATAATAAAACAGTTTGATACTCTTTGGTCTTTGATCCCTAAACGTCAGCTTAAGCAGTGTGTTTAAATAACTCATCGGTAAAAACGCGATTCTTTTCATTGATCTTGATACTTTTTCATCGCTTTTAAAGGTTTTCATCACTTCTTAAAAATATTTTATGCTTTTTACAATGCTTTTGACACCATTCCGTCGCTGTTGACATTTGTTCAGCACTTCTTGCACCTTTCATCATTTTGACATATGTTCTAACACTTGATAATTGCTTTTAATAGTTTCCTCAATTTTTGGAGTGCTTTAACACTTTCACATCAGGGAAAAAGGATCAGTAAAAAATGAATAAGTATAATACTCGAAATGTAGAAAAGACTAATTATTTAGCTGATATATGACATTGAAAGCTTGTAGTTTACTTAGATACAACAAATTAAGAAAGCAGTTGCAAGTAAAAATTTGTACGCAATTGAAAAGTTTCATAAAATAGACATTACCTGCTTATGTATTCTTCATTGGTTAACCCATTTGTGTCATTCAAATATTCATCAACAGTCTTCGCTGGTATAAAAACCTGGAGTGTTACAAAAGATTTAGTTTCACAATGCCAAACATATTTGGTAAGCCGATATAAAAAATACCTAAGCTCAGTCAAATTCGAAACTGATACTATCTCATTTTGGACATTAACATACTCAGACGCCCCAAAATTGTCTGTTACTAAAACAAAAAATTAATATTAGCATATATGGTAGTCAAAACAATTTACTATTATTAGATACTCAAACGTATATATTTACACACAAATTTCAAATGTCTTTGAATATTATTACTGATTATTTGGAGAATATTACTAAAAAATGGAAAAATAATTTCTAATTATGTGACACACAGATGTCTATGAAATTTTATGATCTTTTGGATTGTGAAATTAATTTTTTTAACTAAAATTACTATTTTAACATACTCACTTAGCAATATTGTAGCACTTTCCAAAGGAGCTTTCTTAAACTTAACACTCTTCAGCTTAGGATAAAAACTAAATATTAAATAGGGTATACCAAGTAGTATCACACATCCAAAGTGGTATAAAAAGTTCCTGGTCCTGTCTTCCTGCAAACCCCATATCTTAAATTTTACTGTATCACAGGTTTCATTGTATACCTCTTGTAAGTTATGAATTTCAATAGATTCATAGCCTAAAAATTTATGTTATCAGAAAGGTTACTTCAGAAATGCAAAGAACTTATATACTATACACTAAAGACTATAGCAAAGATAATATACAAATTTTTAGACAAAATTTTGGTCTAATTTGTTACAAAAATTTGTTGAAATAATATGAATACCTAAAAAAACTTCAAATACAATACAACAATATATAAAACACAAATAAGCAAGCCAGAATTGCACAACTCAGTGGCAGAGAATATGAATAGAAAAAGAAAAATAATATTTCTCTTTGGATTAGATGGTATCACCATCATCATCACTACATCCTTCATTTTCCAAAGAAAGTATGATTAGCTCAATTATTCTTTTATTATATCGAGTTTCCAGAATTTTTCTCCCTCTTCTATGATATTGTAATAGCTTTCTGCGAATTATCAGATTAAAAGATTGTTACTTGTTATTGCTGTTTTTTGTTTTTGTATGTAATTCACACCATGGGTATTGTATGATAACTTAGGTGATATTCATCTGTTCTAATTTAAAACTGAATGGTGCACTTAGCTTGAGCTCTGGAATCCTACAGTACCTCTTATATATCTACTTATATTAGACTAGAAAACAATATACATATTCAATAGGAGATATTTTAATAAATATTGCACTATTGTATAACCAAATCCATACATATGTATTATTATTTAACAGTAGGAAAATCGATTACTTAGTCATCAACATTCTTTAACAGATAGCAGTAATTGAATACTTTTCATGCTTAGAAATTTTTAAGTACTACACCTACTAAATAAAGCTATATTTTTTGTCATTATTATCGTTATTATCACAACAATGTTATTATTACTAACCACGATAAAGACAAATGAGCCCATTGTAATGGCTAAACTAAGCTAAAATATTTAATAACATCACTATTAAATAATTTCTTTAAAATTTACAAGACTTTACTTATTACTACTAATATAAAGTCTTTACAATTTATCTAAACTTTGCATAAAAAAGTATTTATTCACTTACCATTTATCCTGTTATAACTATTCATGTTTTTATTAGGGGAAGTATCTAATTATTCATAGTGGCAAGCACATTTAAACTAAACAAGATAAGAAAACTTGTGCGGTATTATCAACACGATTTGATAAAAGAATATTCAACACTGTTTGCTTTTGCTATTTGTACTTCTACTTGGTAAAAAAAATCTAATGAAGCAATAGCAATAAAATGATTAACTGCAATCTTCGCACTTCTTTCTATATTTCATATAAATTGTGTAACAGGCGTATATGAATCAAATTTCCTGTAAATATTATGTTTATGTCATTAAACAGTTATCACAGTTTTATCATAAATTCATTGTTTAAGTTTGCCTATAGTTTATTGTATTTTAAACAAACTATTATTATAAATCAGTCAAGGTTATTTATCCTATATTTATTATCTACAAAACGAAAATAAACTTTTATTATTAGTTGTGACAGTTTCGATTTGCAGTATTGCCAACACAAATTCCAATAAGATTAATTTAAACTTTTTCGCATTTTTTAAATCTTTAAAAAAATTGTAAATTTTATTTTTATAATTTACCTACAAATTAATTTACTGAATGAACATTTAAAAAAAGGTTAGTGTGTCTAAAAATTTTCAACAATTGTGACCGTCTACAATACATAATATTAAATTGACTTTTCTTACACTGTTTTTTTTAATTTAATTGAATTTTATTATTTTATTCCTATAATTAAATAACTACTTTAAATTGAGTTGATATTTCACTGGCGCAGTTTATTAGTTTTATTTTGTGTCAAAAGTTCCAAAATATACTATAAAACTATATTGAGGTAAAATTCTGTTTATACCTTGGCTTATTTAGTTTATATAGACAAATATAGATAGAAATATTAGACTACAAGCCCATGGGAGATTTTTGATTCGTTTGACCCAGCAATAATCACAAATAAAACAATACTACAATATACAGGGTGTTTCAAAAAGGTATGTCATAAATTAACTCACGCATTCCGAGGACAAAAATAAATTGATTGAATCCAATTTACCTTAGTACAAAAGTGTCACAAAAAAAGTTACAGCCCTTTGAAGTTACAAAATAAAATTTTTTTTTTGCATTATCTCCTACACTACTTGACATTTTGTAATAAAAATGGACACGTTACCTTCATGTTCTGAAAGCATTTTTCTTCATACAAAAGAAACAACAAAATCTAAGAGCACAGAAAAATTTTAAGGGGGGTGTGCAGCCCTAAATCCCCCCAAACTATTGAGTACGTTCAAATCAAATGAATTTTGTGGCATCATTAGCTTAGCACATTATTTTTAAAAATTGTTTGCCTCTCATCACTTTTTACATAAAACAGCTTTTATTGAGTTACGGCCCTTCATTAACCTTTAACAAATTACGTGCAACTAAATAAATGGCTTAAATGAATTAACAAGTACAAAAAATATCTATAATTTCTATAAATATGATATGATATTACAATAAATGTTCAAAATGTTCATTTTTCTGACGAAATTGATTTGCAGCTTCAATTATTCTAACCCTCAATTGTTGTTCTTCCTCTATTGTTACAGAATACACTTTCTCTTTAAAACCCCCAAGAGCAAAAGTCCATGGGGTTAACACCTGGACTTCTGGGTGGTTAAGAAATAGGTGCGTCACGACCCCTTCTAATCCACCGACCAGGATACTGCCTCCAAAGGTATTCCCGGACTTCATTACTGTAATTCGATGGAGCGTCATCTTTAGAAACCACATATTTGGGAAGAAATACTGGGCCTATATAACATACTCAAAAGTTTAGGGGGATTTTTAGGGGGATTAGTAGGAGACAGAAGTTTAGGAAATAATGCAAAAAAAACAATTTTTATTTTGTAACTTCAAAGGGCTGTAACTTTTTTTGTATACAGTTTTGTGCTAGTTAAATTCAATCAATTTATTTTTGTCCCCGGAATGCGTGATTTAATTTATGACATACCTCTTTTAAACACCCTGTATATGTAATAACAACTTTAGAAACTATGCCGTCAATTCTTATCGGTACATGTGTCACTAAGTCACAGGTAAGATAAAATTATCCCTCAGGTGGGGAGGGAGTCACATTTTGGCCAAACATATTTGTACGGCATTTAATATCTTTCCGTGTATAATGACCTTCAGCAATACATATCTTTCTTCTCCCATGACATGGCACATATTCTTCAATTCCCTTATTTTAATTGCATTCAAAACCTCCTTTCCACTTTTTATTCCTATTAAAACGTTGTTTTTCGTCACCTTATCGACCCAACTTATTTTTAAGATACTCCTGTATGTGCACATCTCAAATGGTTCATACTTGTTGCTAATTTTTTAGCATCCACGCCTCCATTGCATACAGTAACACCAAAAACACATATCTCAGTATTCGCACTTTGAGTTGCAACCCACTCAGCGAATATTAACGTGGCATCCGCTATATGATTATCAATAGGTTTTTCTTCTTCTCGTTTCTTCTTTTATGTAGCCTTTAAAGAATTTTTCTACTTCGATATTAGCCTCCTAAATTGTTTAAATTATCGCATCATCTTTTTCTTGGTCTGTCAATACTTCTTCGTTCATTGGTGACTTATCTCATGGTATTCGTACTATCCTATCCTCTAATCCTCTGCCATTCTACTAATGTGTTCGTTATCGTTTCACACCTGTTTCCATTTTGTCACTCATCCATTGATGTCTTCTATATTCCATGCTCTTCTTCATATTTCGTATATTTCATATTTCGCTTCTCTTCCTATCCAATAGACTTTTCCTTGATATTCATCGGAGTATTTTTATCTATCTTGTTTCTAGTAGCCATCTCGTTTTAGATGAGTAAGGTTTTGTCTCCACCATGTATATGAATATAGGTCTAATTTCTGCTTTATAGATTCTTGTTTTTGTGTCTTGTCTTAAGTGTTTGTTCTTTCAGATTGTGTTATTAAGAGATCCTGCCACTTTACTTGCTTTTAAGCCTCATTGTCGTACTTCTTCAATATCTCCTTAACTAGATATGTCTATTCCCAAATATCTAAACCTTGCTTCCTGTTTTATTATTTTCCCATCAATTTAGATTTTACAACGAAGTGGGTATTTAGATGTTGTCATACATTTGGTTTTTTCTGCATATATTATCATATTGTATTTCTTGGCTGTTGTATTGAAGATCTGTGTTAATCTTTGGAGCTCGTCTTCTGTCTCGGCGATCAATGCGACGTCGTCTGCAAAACATAATATTTGGATTTCTTTGTTTCACATTCTGTAACCATGAGTTTTACGTACTGCTTGTATTATTTCGTCCATTATTATATTAAAGAGAAGTGGGCTTAACGAATCACCCTGTCTGACTCCGTTTTGTACTGGTATACACTGTGTTAGTTTTCCATTTATCTTTGCCTGTATTCGATTACGGAAGTAGATGTTTTTGTTCTAGGTTTTCCGTTAAACTTTTATTCTAACTTCGACTGAAACCATTCTTTTGTAATGACGTCAATATCATATGTGGTGTTGCAGGTATAAGGCTATTAGTATCTCTATTTAATCTTCTGTGATTTGTTTAATGATTTCTACTGCTATGTTACCACAATCTGTAGCTTTATCATCTTTTGCCAATGTTATTGCATGCACCTCTTCTTTTATTATATTATTCACAGTTTATCTTTGGTTGTATAGTTCCATGTCTCCTATTTGCCTCCCATTTTTCAGTTGCTGGCCAGTTCCTCTTGTTTCTGCTTGTTATTTTCTCCCATGTAAATTGAAATTGCCATGCGTTTCCACTATTACTTCTACTTCCTTACCTTTGTTTGCAGACGATTTTCCTTGATTTCTCTTATTTTCTTCCTAATTATATTATATACGCCCTTTTAATTTTCGATGTCTCTGTTCTTTGTTATATAATTTATTTCTGTTATAGTCTTCTCTTTTTCATCAATTATCCATGATTTCATTTTGTTAGTGGTTTTCTTTCTCTTTCGGATCTCCTTCGTTGGATTCAGTATTATCTTATTAAAAGTTTTCCATCTTCGGTTCGAGTTTAAATTTGAATAGATCATATTTCTCTTTATTTCCCCTTCAATTTTTTTGGACTCTGAATTCTTATAAGTGAATCTTTCAAGAATGAACTCGTTGTGTTTAATTATTACAAGTTATTTTTCCAAGTAGAGTTATCTCTTTGAATTTTTAGATTCCTCAGATCACTTTAGACATTTTTTGAATACAATGTCTTATATCTATCTTTGACTGTTTCGGAAATATAAGTAAAATGCAAAAATCGCATTTAGAAAAGAAAATTATTTATTTGTTGAAAGTCGCTACCACTGTCTTAATACTTCTTACCCATTTAGGTCTTGGTAATGATAAAGTAAACAAAAACTATTTAAGCGTTCCTTTTTATTGACATGTTAAAAAAACACAAAATTGTTTACTTTGGTTTAAAACGCCAATGTTTTATTGATCCATGATAGAAGTAAATGTCAGTGCTATAGTCGTTTAAATTTCATTAACCGCAAGCCAGAAAAATGGTTCATTTAGCAAAAATGCACAAAATTACAATTATCCAGATGATTGGCTATGGAGATAAGACATGAACGCAACTGGAAGTAGCTCGTTTATTTCACGAAGCATTTCTAGATGTGCCGCACATATCTCAAGGGACAATTAGTAAAATTGAGAAGCAATTAGATGAGCTAGGCCATGTTAGGAAGATAAAAAAAGAAGGTGCCAGTGCAATAAGTGAGGATACCAAATTGGCTATATGCTTGAGTTTGAGGAACACCCACATACATCTGTTCAAAAAGCAGCCCCAGTACTCGATATTAGCTATCATCGCTTATTCGAATATTACAAGGAAACAAAATGCATCTTTATAAAACGTATTTTTGTGAACAAATGTGTTTTTTTTCTGATGAGTGCACCTTTACTCTTCATGGTCGTGCTAATCGGCAAAATTGCCGCTATTGGTCCAGCAAAAATCTTCACTGGGTGAGAGAAGGCAATACTCAATACCCTGAGAAGGTTAACGTGTGGGCAGGAATTATTGAAGATCATATCATAGGTCTCTATTTCATAGAGGGCAATTTGAATGGCGACAATTATTTAGCATTGCTCCAAAATAATGTAGTGCCAAAGTTGGCCAATTTGTATCTTGTGGAGTACCACCCCACTACCAAATCCATCTCCGGCAGTACTTCAACTAAATATTTCAAAATCAGTGGATAGAGAGGCGAAGATCGATGGAATGGCCACCACGATTCCCCGATTTGGCGTCATTAGACTTTTTCTTATGGGGATATGTAAAAGGTATTGTATACAAAACTAAACCCACTGGCTTAGCTGACTTACGAAGACGAATGAAAATCAAGGTAACCTTTTTTTTGTTTGAACTCTTAAAGTAACGAGAGACTTTTTTTTATTAATAACAATAATTGCTTTCATAACAATTTAAATTTTTTAATAATAAAATATTGTAAATCTTAGGGCACAGAATAATAAACAATCAGAATGCCCACTCTCCATGGAAAATTAAGTACGAGCATCTCCTTCGCGCAGACGTTCCGCCATGTTTTAGAGGGAACCAGTGTTGTTTATGTGATGTGCATAGAAAAATTAACCCGGTTTAATTGACTTACGGCAATCATAGACATACTATACAATTATATTAACATTGTTAAATATAATAACATAAATTATCATAAATATAATATAATTAAACATAAATATAAACAATTACATAACCTCACAAATCATATGTCTGTGTTATGTGCGTGCTGAAAAACTTCAAAGGCGGCATCTGAGAGTGGGCATTCTGATTATTTATTATTCTGTGCTTAGGGTGTGGTTATGCTGTAAATTTAATTGTTCTCTGTCATCAAATTAAATGTAGACACAAAGAATATAGACGCTTAAGCGTCTATATTCTTTGGTAGACATTAATTTGTTGTGACATTTTTTATTTTGTTTGTAGAAAAGGTTAACCTTTATGATATTTTCATTTATAAAGATTAGTTAATTTTAATAATTTATTTCTGCCACAGTTCTAACTTAATAACCATTTTGAAAGTTTTTGTAGCGATTCCCAATTGTAAACAGATAGGCCATATGTAAGATTTTTTTTATATTTTATTTTGGTATAAACCCATGTAATTTGATTATCTGTTTGGGCAACTGTTTGTTTGAGACAAAAATAAATGTTTAATTCATTTCCCTAATTATTTTGTTTATTTTAGTTTAGAAAAATCTCCTAACTCCTCTGTGTTTTTTCCTTTTTAGGGAAGAAGAGCATTTTTCCCTAAATCCAGCAAGGATTCTTCGAAGCGGCGTCCTTCTTTCATATAGCTAGAAGTCTTTTCTTGTTGTCTCTATTTGCCCATTTGTCCAGGAGATTTATGTAAGTACCCCTTTGTTTCATTTTTTTGTAGTTGCCCCAATCCGACAATATATTCGTTGCAATCTGATACACCCCGTATAAAAAGTTTTTATGGAAAAAATGCGCAACTAAAGTCGGTTCGCTATATTTACGCGGGTTTCAGATAAAAAATTTCTTTGTAAGTACCCAGTTTTAATTACCTGCTCTTTGGGGAAATATCAACTGGTCAAATGAAATGAAAAATAATCCATAACTTTTTTTAATTAAATAATAATGGAAAATCTTTTATATAATTGGTATAATAAGGAGAATTACTTCATTAATGAAGTCTAATGTGGCTAATATAAACCTAATAATAATTTTATATTACACTTTACACAGAAAATATGGTCTATGTATATTTGTTTCATGGAGAGAATTTCTAATGAAAAATAAAAAAATTTAACTTGCCAATAAAAATGAAAATCAGTCATTATCATGAAAAATATCATAATTTTCATCATCATCACTGTCATCACCATTAATTGTTATTATGATTGGACTTATTTCGTTTATTTTATTTTCACGAGTCTACCAATGTTCTATTAGTTTCTCGCACTTGAATATACAGTTGCACCACACTTCTGGAGTTACAATTGAAAGTGCCTTTCGCCAAGTTTCCCGAACTGCGTCGTCGCTATAACCGTTAGGCCCAATATGGTTGTCATAATATTGTTTTGCTATTCCCCATATATATTCGATGGGATTAAACTGGCAACGATACGGTGGCAGACGTAAAACTTGATGACCGTAACTTTCAATAATCTGATCCACAACAAAGGTTTTTGGTTTTGCGTAGATATTTGCCAAGCGTAATAATTCTGATTTTAAAATATGTTGTGTAAATGGTATATGTTCCTTTGTCAACCATTCTTTAATTTTATTAACAGTCCAAGCATTCGTTGGACTTTTGTTTAATACTTCAGAATGGTAAGGTGCATTGTCTAAAATAATTACGCTGGGCTCACTTAAACCTGGGAGAAGTTTTTCATGTAACCATTTTACAAACATTTCTGTGTTCATATTATCAGCGTGATAGTCACTTGATTTTGATTTAGATGAAAATATTAAATCAGCACCTTCTATAAAACCCGATTTCCCTCCTGCATGTAAAATTATGTGTCGCTTCGCTTCTCCATCAGTATGTTTGATAGACTTTACGTTATCATCTTGCCATATTCTCTTGGTTGCACCTCTAGAAAATATCCATGTTTCGTCTAAATATATAAAATTTGCCCTTTCTTCTTTTAATTTAGAATATTTTCTTAGAAAGTTAATTCTTTTATGCACAACAGAACTTCTTTCACAAAGGGCTTTTCTGTTATCCTCCTTTTGAAATTTGAAACCCAAATTATGTATCACTTGCCATAGACTTGTTCTGCCAATTTCGTCAAATTTTCCATCTTTTAATTCCGAGAGAATTGTATTTAAGGTCACATGTTCCTTGTTGGCTCGCATTCGATAAATGGTATCACGAATTTCAAATTTTTTCCATATGGAATATCTTTCGTTTTCAATGATAGGCGAGTTTTTCGGTGATCTTCTTTCGGCCGTTCATTATTACGATTTTGTAATACTCCTCTTAGTTTGGTTTCACTAATTCCTAGAGGATCACATACGCGTTAGTGAACAGACATTACCGATTTTAAAGGACCGCCATTTTCTTTTTCATCCGTAAAATAATCAATTCAACTGCAATATTGTAACAAATTTATACCTACCCTAATGTTATTTTAATGTATTTTAAAATATGACCATTAATGCAGTTTTTACCTAATTTTCTGGGAAGTCGTTTACTGCAACTGGTTATCAATGAGTCATTAGCATAATTTTGTTAATCCGAAACCCGCGTAAATATAGCGAACCGACTATATAAATACTAATCGAAGTATTCAACCTTTTTTCGTGTTTCGTTTACACAGTGTATATAAATATATGTGAAATATAAAATTATACCAGTGTTGTTTAGGGATGGTAAGTTACAGCAGGGTGTAGCATATAAGAAATATACTAGAAATGGAAGAAAGAGGACTTGAGAAGGAGAATGATTGTAAGAGGAATGAGATTGGAAGGATAAAAGGAAAAAATTAAATATTCTTTCTCTTTTAGTTCATACAAGCTGAAAAAAATTTTAATTTCAAATAATAGACAACATTGTTCTCGAATTTTTATTAGATGATCCAGCAAATTTAAATACACATTTATTAAATGAATACAAATTATTCCATGGTTACATAAACATTCGTTAACACTAATTATGTATAAACTTGTTCAAATAATCGTTAACATACACTTTGCATGTAAACACTGGGTTAACAATCGAATGATTTTGTATTATAAAATTCGAGATTTACTGGTTTACTACTACCAAACGTATGTTCCATATTGTTGTACCAATACCTGAAGAACATTGTAGTTGAGATATGCTGCCTATTTTCATAAAGAATCACAAGATTTCTTAGTGTTCACAAGAAAACTAAAATAAATTAGTCAACGAAGAAACTCAACCTAATTATTATTCAAATTGTTCTTCAATTCATCGCAGCATTGTTTTTTTGTACTCTCCAAACCTGCTGAACCAGGTTGACGTACAGTGTTGCCAAGTTCTTGAATAAATACATAATAATTACCCAAGTTCACTAGATCGACGCATAGATGTTACCAAATCTTTTACTGAACACGTAAATTGTGGAAATAAAAGAAAATGAAAAGAAAACTTTTTTACTTATTTTCAATTTGCTTTTAAAATCCTCAGAGTCCTTCATATATCGGTATTGTATAGTCCGAAAAGTTGTTTGGAATTATCACAGCACTATCACCAGGATGAAACTGAAATAGTAAAGGCAAGATTTGTAGTTTTAAATGTTTTGACAGGATGTAGTTGAACGCTATAAACTCTTCTCCTCAATATTTTAAATCTACATTAAATGCTTGTCAGTTAACTAATCTCTAAGTAGTTATGAATCCTCTCCAAGTAATTTGTTTAATTCGTCCAGTCTTTTTGATCGCTCTTCGTTGTTTTCTAATTTTAGAAGGTCCTCCTTTTCTTTCTTTAAGGTAAGTCTGCTGGTGTGGTTGAGCTGACTGAATTCCCATGATCCTGTACCGTCGAATTGAAGGATGTGAGTGTGGAATTTCCTGAAAACAGAAAATACAATTCTTTAGTTTTATGCATTCCGTTTTGTCTGAGGATTAATGCAACCAAAACAACAACAGATACAGAAACACTGATAACGGATTCTAATTAAACATTAAAAATTATGTGGAGGAGAATTATGAAACCGGAAGTCAAAACATCCTCCAAAATCAAAAGAATAACCAGAAAAATCATCGAGCAAAAAGACAAAAGAGGGAATCTAATCCTTATGAAAGGGAGACCAAAAAAGTGGCTTCTGATGGCGGACATATCCGGAAATGCGAATGCGCCAAATTTAAATTTTCCGACACTTATTAACAGTAGCTATATAATATTTTTCAGAATGTGTCTTAGACGAGAAAGTTTTAATTAATTATTAACGATAATAGTCTAAAATGCGACACAATTCTTGCGACACCCAACTACATTTGATGTCACACAAGGAGAGAGAGACTCTCTTTCCTTGTTTAATGTGGCCTCTAAAGATCGCACTTCTTGTCTAACAATATTTTTGCCCCCACTACCTTCACATTCCCTCTTTTGTCTTTTTGCTCAATGAGAAAAATATAGAGAAGTCTCTGAAATAGTATGTAGGGTGAAAATATATGTGAATTATATTCCTTACTAATATTTATTTTGATCCATAGTTAATATTACCATCCCTTATCAATAATAGGTTGCAATAAATCAACAAATCACCTAAAAATTGCCCAAAAATTTAAATAATATTTTTAGAAGTGCCTGAGTAAAATTACTATTTAGGCTCTTTACTGAGCTTTAGACATTATTTAGTTTCTTCAAGTAAAAGGCTCCGAAGTTGAATTTGTTTAGGAACTGATTTTGTAAATCTCGGAGTATTAGCATGACAAGAGCTCCAGAATAGGCGACGATGTTGTGTTGACTAACTCCTAGATGTATGTCGTAGAGTTCTTTTATAGACGTACGTCGTAGAGTTAAAGTGAATTATCGACTGCTTGTCCGAAGAGAATATTTTGAGGAGTATTTCTTGGGAAAATTTCTTTTGCAATTGAGTCTTTGGGTGCTTTCAGTACTGAGATGTTCGCTTTGACAGTATCATCAACAGTACATCAGACGCATTGTTTGGCTTAAGGATCTCACAACGCAGTCCTGTATAAATTATGATACCCAGTAGCGCACCTAGAATTTTCCTCTGGAGTGGTTTTGGTTGAGCACCGAATTTTTTTTATGATGCCTTCATTTTGAGTCCTTAAAATTTGTGAGTAACAGTGTCGGAATAGGGTCCTTGGGGGGTTTTAACCCCCAAATATTCCCCTGGTTGCGCTACTGATAATACCTCTAGAAAGTGCGTCAACGAATTTAAGTTTGGAGTCTTATGGTCGCCGCCAGTAATTAGCCATTTTTATATCTAAATTAATTTACAAATTATTTTTGTACTTCAACTATTATCTGTTAGTGGACGCCAGTAATTCACCATTATGACTTAAAATATCTGCAGACGACTTTGATATTTCTTCCCCTGTTTTAGTCTTTAATGGACGAGTCCAGACAAAATTTAAAAAACAATCAATTACAATAAGAATGAGCTTGTAACATTTATTTTGGTTGACATAAAACATTTTTGAAAATAATTCACAGCAGAATTGTTAAAACTCTTGAATATGAGATAAGTGACACACAATTTGGCTTTAGAAATGGTATGAGTACAAGAGATGCTTTGTTCGGCTTGAATGTGCTGGCTCAGAGATGCATGGACATGAATCAGGATATGTACTTATGTTTTGTAGACTTTGAAGAGGCATTTGATAAAGTTCAACATAAAAAGCTTGTAGATATATTAAAAAGCAAAAATATTGACAGTCGTGATTTGAAAATTATATCTAATTTATATTGGAATCAAACTGCCAAGGTAAGAGTTGACAGCCAGTACCCCGAAAATATCAAAATACGGAGAGGAGTCCGCCAGGGTTGCGTGCTGTCCCCACTACTTTTCAATGTCTACAGTGAAGCGGTATTTCAAGAAGCGCTCTCAGACTCAATAGAAGGTATATCTATCAATGGAGAAGTTTTGAATAACTTACGTTTTGCAGACGATACAGTAATAATTACGGATAACAACAATGATTTACAGAACCTAATGCAACGCCTTAATGAACGCTGTCATGAGTACGGACTGAAGATAAATTTAAAGAAAACTAAATGCATGATCATAACTAAATCTGCACATGCAAATATCTAATTGACTATTGAAGATACTGCAATTGAGAATGTTAATAACTATAAATATTTAGGAACATGGATAACATCAGATGTAGACCAAACCAAAGAAATTAAGACACGTATTGAAATAGCACGTACATCATTTATTAAACTTAAAAAGTTTCTTTGTTTCTTTGTTCTTCGATGTTACGTGTTCTCTACTCTTCTTTATGGTCTGGAAGCTTGGACACTAAAACAAGTTCATCTGAATGAGCTGGCCGCCTTTGAATTTTGGTGTTACAGAAGAATCCTACGAATATCATGGATTCAAAGAATGTCAAACATGGAAGTAACTAGAAGGATAGGAAATGAGGCGGAAATAATATTAACTATTAAAAGACGAAAACTTGAGTATTTGGGACATGTGATGAGAGGGCAAAAATACGCATTATTACAACTTATTATGCAGGGCAAAATCCGAGGAAAGCGAAATGTGGGAAGACGAAGAATATCCTGGCTTAAGAACTTGAGGGAATGGTTTGAATGCAGTAGTGCAGAACTTTTTAGAGCGGCAGTCAACAGAGTCCGCATAGCCATGATGATTTCCAACCTTCGATAGAAGATGGAACTTAAAGAAGAAGCTCAGCAAGATACATTGAGTTTAGATTTAGATTCTAACTCGATGGCAAGATATAATATATGACATAAAACGTGGAAAATTTGACATATGTGACATAAACATGACATATTACATAAAACGTGATTTTATAGAATTCTACAGAATCTATTATGTACTTCTAAAGATTAGTTGCGATCAGGATGAGATGGGATCGTTGAGGACGAAAAAATTACATAATAATATACTTACCACAGTGTAGGTCTATGTGTGATGGTGAGTAGAGTAATTCCCATGTCAATAGCACTTTGGTATATGAAGCTTTCAACATCAATGGACACTGCCGAAGTGCATTCATCCAATAGAGCGTATTTCGGTCTACAATTATAAAGAAACATTTTAAAAACATAAAATACTAGTAAATATATATATATATATATATATATATATATATATATATATATATATATATATATATTATATATATATATACGAATCAAAGCAAATACTTTTATTATTATTAAATATAGCTGAATAGGTTTGGTAGGTCCTAAATAGTTAATTACTTAGATCAGAAGATTGAGTAAGAACTCATGTAACACAATTTTAATTTCAATTTACTATCAGCGAGACAAATATGTATGGTGTTTTGCACCTGCGTAACAAGACCTTAAGACTCCAATGTATTTCGCTCCCTCTTGTTCATTTGGATATCGGGTGAGATTAACAATCTTATAATCCAATTCATACCTTGCTATTTAAAGTCAATATAGTTGATATGTATCATAAAGCAATTGTATGTCAAATTGCTTTCATAATTTCATACTATAAAAAAGGATTTGTAATAATTAATAAATTGTAAATTTTAGGTTTTGACTTTAGCTGTCAATTTATTTGTTCTCAGATTTAAGATTTAGTGTTGACATATGACGGCTAACTTTATTATTTTTAATATTCATTTGTTTTGTTTTTAAAGAATGTTAACCTCCGTTGCAATAACAATTTCTTTTAAGTTTTTGTAGTGTCTCCAATTCCTAGAGTTTGTAAACGGTTAGGACACATGTAAGTTTTTCTTTGTTATTTTTGTACTCTGTAAGCTACTTTTGTAAGCGTTTGTGGTGAGACACAATACATGTTTAATTTTTTGTAAACCATATTGTTTATTTATCTTGACTAACGCTCTAACCCCTTTTTTTGAGTTTAATTTGAAAAAGATATGTTTTTTATGTCTAATAATTATTTCAATAGTTACAACTAGCTGTTGTAATCGTTATAATGCGGTACCTCGAAGCGGCGTCCTTTTTAAATTGCTAGAGGTGTTTCCTTTTGTTTTGTTTGTCCCAAGAGATTCATGTAAGTACCCCTTTGTTTCATTTTTGTAGTTGTCCCATTCCGACCCCTTGCCATTTACTTATCCACGACCCCAGCTCTCCAAACAAACTCTGAGTGCCGTTCGCACAAGTTTCGTTTATTTTGTTTGCCCTATCGCCACCACCATAGTTTCTGTCCCCAATTTCTTTCTTCCCTCAATATCTTTCACAAACTTCACAAAAAAAAACAAAAATTTGTATTTTCTTTTAAAATGTACAGCATATTATGAATCGAAAACTCCAAAATAAGCTACGTAACGCCATTTATCACTAATGACAAAAAATATACGCCACTGTAAGTAACTAAATATCTAGGAAACTGCGTTTAGGTGTCTAGGAATCTGCATTCGATTTGGCACTATCTGATGAGGCCCAAATATAGGTCGAGACATGTAGAGTGAACGAAAAATAGCCTTTTAGAAAGAACCTGCTGTCTATATACTACGACTAGTACCGACTCGTGAAATAAGCCATTGCATGACCATATTTTAGTCGTCAAACACAACCTTAGAGGAAAGCTTGCGACGGCTAAGTATTTACTTCTTTGTCGACAGTTACTGTCACATAAGACACTTATAGAAATATAGAAAAGTAGAACTTACTTGTGATAAAACAATCGCGCAATAGCCATCCTTTGTTTCTCACCACCGGACAAAATGTCAGTCCAATCTTTCATTTCATAGAATCCGTCCCTCTCGACGATATGATCTAGGTGTACCATTGTCATTATTTTCAGTAAATGTTCTTCGGTAATACCTTTCTTTACCATATCTGTGTAAGTGTCTGGATATATTACTTGGTCTCTTAAATTACCTAAAAAAGAACAATGAATTTTACATTTAATTCAATTTTTATGCAGTATATGGTTAGTAGAATATTAGTAAAAACATAGGTTCATCTAAATATCCATTTCGGTTTAGGTGATGCTCATATCGATACCAAAAAAAAAGGAACGATAAGAAAGTATGTTACTATGTTCTTGTACAGAGTAGGTCAGGAATAATCTTATCATGAAGTGGTGAGTAGTAATCACAGTTTATTACAGGTTGCATAATTAATAGGAAAAAATTATTTTAATTTAATTTGAAGAATTTGACCATGCTGAAGAAGAGTGTTACAACTCAAAATTCTCTGTTTTCGAGATTTATGCAGTGATCAACCGAAAAAGTGTTCTACTTTTCTGAAAAAAATGATTATAACTGTAGTTCAATATTTGTATGCGAGATTGACAGCGGTTTTGACAAATACCTACCTGTGAACGAGAGTGTTACAATTCAGTCTATTACCGAAATTGTTAAACTTGTTATAAAACTATTGAATATTGGGGTAAGTTGAATATTTAGTAGTATTGATTGTGAAAAAAGGTTTATATTTAAATGTGACTTTTAGCTGTCATAGATTTTGTTAAGAATAAGGTAACAATGTGACTTATAACAGTCTTCTCGAGACATTTGAATAAAATTGTGGTTTAAGTCTAAATGTATGTATGATCTGCAGATTTCACTTTATGTTTATGTATTTGTATTATTTTAGATTCATTTTTAAATGTAACCCTAATCTGTATACAAATATCATGAATTTTAGTTTAAGACCACGTATGTTTTGCTTAGAAAAAAATAATATATAATTATTTGGCATTTCGTGTATATACTTAATGGAAGATTATTGTTTTAGATTTCTCCGATGAGGACTTACAAAATGATACATATGGATCCGATGATAGCGTGCGCGATCCCATATATCAGGAACCACGTAATACTCCTATTCTGAAGCAGAAATAGGAGTAGATCAAGATGAGCATCCATCAAAGAGAAAGAAAGTGTCGGCTGAAACTCAGACTGAGAAAAACAAGAGAGAAACTTATATTTCAACTCAAATACAAAAAAAAAAAGAAAATCGTACAATATCAAGAGTAAAATAAAAGGCCACGAAGATGCATTCTACCACCACGTGGTCAAAAATGCAGACTTAAATGCTCTGACAAAATTTCTGCTGAACAACATAAACACATTTTTTTTAATTTTTATAGATTTGGAGATCTTGGAAAGCAGAGAGAATATATAGCATCGAATATGACACAAATCAATCAAAAATATAAATATAGTAATATTGCGAATCCAAGAAAACCGAATAATGCATGTAACTTTAAAATTTCTGGGCAAAACATATTTTATGACAACTTAAGCAATTAACAATAGAACTATTCAGACTGTACTCAAAAAACAAAGTATTTGTGAATATGGTAAGATTATTGATGTAGATAGAAGAGGAAAACACGGAAATAATAAAAAGATAGGTACCGAAATACAAGACAGAATAACGTTACACATAGATTTAATTCCGAGAGTCGAGGCTCACTATTGTAGAGCTAATACTTCACGCGAATTTATAGAAGGTGGAAAAACTTTGTCAGATTTACATAGAGATTATATCAAATTATGTAAAGAGGAGAAATTGGAATACGGAAATTACCAATTTTACACCAATACCTTTAAGGAGGAGAATAATCTATCTTTTCATGTACCAAAGAACGACCAGTACGAGTTGTATTTGGAGTATCGCAATTGTTCAGAAGTCGAGAAAGCTAAAATTGGAAGGCGAACACATTTAAAGGAAAAGGTACTCAGCCGAGAAGAAAAAATAAACGACAAACACGAGACTGCCGATGATGTGACAGTTTTAGTTTATGAGCTTCAAAATGTTTTGCCGTATCCTATTGGACATGCAAATTTATTCTATTACGTCTCAAACTTGAATGTTTTTAATTTTAGTATATTTAACATCAACAACCACAGAAGGAGTCTGCTATTTGCGGCACGAAGGAGAAGGTTTGGGAAGATTTTTTAATAAAAGTAATGGAGCAGATTTGAAAATAATTTTTTACTCTGACAATTGTTGTGGGCAAAACAAAATCAAGTATATATTTGTTCTTTATGTATACATGATCAACAAACTAAGAATCAAGTCTATCACTCACAAATGTTTCGTTAAGGGACAGCCAAAACGAAGGAGATAGCGTACATGCCAACATCGAGAATGAGATTACAAAATATAAAAATTCCAGTCCCATCAGTGCTTCTTGATCAATATGCTGTAATAATCAGACAGGCTAAAAAACGGATAAAAAATATCAGCTGAACGAACTGTGTTTTACAGACATACTTGATTTAAAGAAATTGTCTTCAAATATGTACATTAATATTCCAAAGCACGTCAAATTTTCCACTATCTGAGTTATTAAACTGCAAAAATCTGATCCCACTACCTTGTTTTATAATACTTGTATGGCTAAGAAAGTTTCATGGAAACCGACATTATTAATCAGAGAAAAAATATTGAATTTGATAATATAATATTATAATCTGCTTTTGGAAACAAACTAGGGATTTCAGACGCAAAGAAAAAGGGGTTACTGGAGCTAATTAAAAAAAATGTGTTCCGCATTATTACTTAGATTTGTTAGATTTCTTTAAAAACCTTTGAATTATTTGGTATTCGCTTTATGGTCAGCTATTGCATCAAATTTGAATTTTAATCCCAAAAATGATTATTTAGACAAGCATTTATTACTTTTGTTATTTTTTAATAGAAATAAAATTGTTTTAAGTTGGAATATGTTTATTATTTTCTACAGAAGAAAGGAAAAGCAATGTCTGTTAAACAACTGTTTTATATTAATAAAAAAATATATAAAATCATGAAGATAAAGATAATAGTACATTTATAATCCCTAAAGTCATTTTGTTACAAGATCTGATATCATAAAATTTTTATTTTTATTTAATTTTATTTAATGACTGTTTTGTGGAATATTGTACAGTCCAAGGTTTGAAGTGAAAGATAAAAGTAAGAAGTAAGTAATATGTAATACAACCATTTTTAGATTTTAAAGGATGTCAACAGTATCAAACATTTTGTTGCAAAAAATGTTTAAATAGCTCTTCTGGAAAATTACGTTTTTTGAGTTCTAACCCTCTTCTTCCGCATGGCCGAATTGTATTTTTAAAATAATTTAGTTACAACACCAAAATCGAATAGCTTTAAGACAAAGCATGCAAAGAAAAGGGATAGGGGAAACGAGAAAATGCTCATATATTGCATTACAAAACGATAACAACCTGTTAATAACCAATCAAGCAGAAAAACAACAAGTTTGGATAAAATATAGAGAAACTATTCAACTATAAATATGATCCAGATAAAAAAAACGCTTCTTGAGAGACTCATTGGTCAGAGAAGGAAAGGAAGATCCAGAACAAGGTTCCTTAATAACAACATCGATTAAGACATGAGAAATATGAGAATACGTGCTTGGCGGAGAAAGGCGATGGATAGGGATGACTGGAGAGAAATTTTTGAGGAGGCTAGGAATGACGCAGGGTTTGATGTATGCAGTATGAGGATGAATCAACTATACCAACAATCTCAAAGTCCGGCTAACAGAAATAGTACATTGTTTACCGGGTAGGAAAAGCTTAACATTCCTGGACGACTGTGAAGATTGCTAAGTCGAGGCGCAAGCCGAGACTTAGCAACACAGAGTCCAGGAATGTGGCTTTTCCTACGAGGTAAACATACTATTTTTCCGCAAATCGTTTAAAATTCGACAGATATTGATTGATTTAAAAAAAAAAAACGCGATAATTTTATTCCCAAATAAATGGTGCTTTGAAATTCCTAATAAAATTACTTGGGTTACTATGGAAACGTATTGAGGTTGAATTGTCAAACTTGAAGCTTATAAATTTAATTGCTGGTGTTCTCGAAAGTAAAATGATAAGTGATGATGAAATTTCCATTCCTGGGACTCCTCCACAGCTGGTTGAGGCAGTGAATACTGCTTCATTAGAATTATTGCCAAAGAAATCAAGAGAAAAGTACGAAAATGCATACAGACGTTTTATGGATTATCGCATGAGTAAAAATACGAGTTCTTTCTCAGAAAATGTTGTAATGGCATACTTCCTAGACCTTTGTTTAAAGATAAAATCTTCAACATTATGGGCCAATTATTCAATGCTGAAGTCAACCCTTGCACTTAAACACAATGTAGATATATCTACATACTCAAAACTTCGTTCTTTATTGAAACGGCAAGCTCAAGGTTATAGGGCAAAGAAATCTAAGATTTTAACGAAGGAAGAAATTGAAAAATTTATCCAGGAAGCTCCAGATAAAGAAAATTTAATGATTAAGGTAATTTACAAGGTTTTAATTTCTATTTAGATTATAGCTTTATTTATTTTTTAGGTGGCTGTAATATTTGGTATTTCTGGGGCCTGTAGAATGGATGAGTTAGTCCGAATGAGTGTACACGATATAGAAGACTTAGAATCTAAGCTTTTAATCAGCATACCTGATTCGAAAACCAACAAACCAAGATCATTTGTAATTAATCAGATCTACTTGAATGTTTATCGAAAGTATGTTTCGTTAAGACCAGAAAATATGAACAGTGACCAATTTTTCTTTAAATAACAAAGCGGAAAGGGTTGGAGACAAGTGGTAGGAATTCATCAATTTAGAAAAATGCCCAAAATAATTGCTACTTATTTGAACTTGGTAAATCCGACAGAATATACTGGTCACTGCTTTCGTCGGTCTTCTGCAACAATATTGGTTGACTCTGGTGCCGACATAACTAGTTTAAAGAGGCATGGCGGATGGAAGTCATCAAACGTTGCTGAAGGATATATCGAAGAATCGCTTAACAATAAGGTTGAGGTGGCAAATAAAATTTTCACAGTACAAAATATTCAACAAAATGACACTTCCACCCTGCATGTTGTCCAAAATGTTTCTCATAGTTCTAAGAGTGTTCCTCCAATGTTCAATAATTGTACTAACTGTCAAATTACTGTAAATATAACAAATTGATCTTAAAAATGTATTCAGCAATGACTTGATGTTTTCAAAATATAAATTAATTCCTTATAAGCAATGTGTTTTCTATCATTTATGTAGAACACTAACAACTGTACGGAAATATCATTTCCTTACAGTAAGGAAATGACATTTCCTTACAGTAAGGAAGTCCTGACTTTTTCTTCAAGAAATTTTGACAGGAATGTCAAAATTTCCTGGCGATTTGCGGAAAAAGAACATTGGCCTATCCCGCCTATAATACACAGCTAAATTGTTAGAATCCTAAAAGCAATCAAAACGGTTAAAGCAGGGAAATATAAGTATTCATACTTATAAATACAGAAAATATAGACATAGGTACTACTATAGCTTTTCAACATACATTAAAACAATTGTAAACGATTAAAAATAGTTTTTGTCATTTAATTAGTTAATTATCAAACTCCATACAAAATTTAAAATTGTGAAGCGGTGAGTGGTGCTTACAGTATATTATTGGTTACATAATTACTTATTACTTATGATAATCTAATAGTTATTAATTAAAAAACTTACCTATTACCATATAAGGCCTCTGAGGAATATAAAACATTGAATTTTGAGGAGTGTGAAGCTCTCCACCGTAAATAGGCCACAATCCGCTCAATATTCTGAACAAACTGGATTTTCCACAGCCATTTGGACCCGTAATTAGTAAGTGTTGTCCCGGAGCCAAGTCAAGACTTAGAGACGGACACACTATATCGCAATTTGGAGTTACTATAGGAACATTCTTTAGGATGATTTCGTTATTGGTCGAGTATATGATTTTACCTGAAAAGTATAAGAATGTTAAAAATAAATATAAAAATCTGTCTGAAACTGATAATGGATTCAGATGCAGTGTTTAGCATTAAAAGATATGAGGGAGAAAATGATGATAGTATTCGATCTATTTACTAAATTTATTTTTCTCACTCTGTACAAGAAATATACTTTCTTTTCATTTTTAAAGTTAATATTTATTAGTATTCAAAATAGGACTGAGAGTTTTGGACAGAAAAACGTGCAAACAATGGATACACAAAGAGCAGAAACTGATGGAGCCACATACACATACATAACAATGTAAATCACAGCTCCAGAGGGCATGAAATTCTCGGAGTAAGGCGATCTGATGTCCAAATATCAAAGAGGTCAAGTCTAACGGAGATCTTAACGTTGGGGAGGCTCTACCTGTTTTTTAATCTTGGATGTCCTAGTAAATCGGGTATCCGAGAGGCCTTGCTGCGACGATGCGGCGAGACAGGTCATAACAACTGTGATTTGGAATTCGCTTGGAAGACTTGGAAATATCTTCGCCTGTTGTGAGATGATAATTGTCTTATACTCTCAAAAAGCAGAAACTGATTGGTGAGCAGAACAGGTTATAGCAACTGCGATTTGGGATTCCCATGGAAATATCTAGTTAGCTAAGCTACAGAAGAATGAAACAATAAATGATAGAATGATGGATCTAGTCTTCTTCTTGACTGAAACATCGAGAAAAATCTGTCAGCAAAAGTGTTTCTGAAAACAGAAATGGTTGGATTTGCCGCCACCCTTGTAGCATATGAAAGACTTAAATATTCCCCTCTAAGCTGCCAATTTCATGCCAAGAAAATCAACAGATTTTACGTATTCAATAGAATTGTTATTTAACTCTAGGTTTGGAGGGATTAAACTAGCTCTAACGTGTTTGCTGAAAAGCATAGTTTTTGTTTTATTGGAATAGAACCACAGATTAGTGGTATTAGACCAGTTTTCTAGTTTGCTAATGGCTCCTTGAATATGATGTGATATAGATGATAAATTTTTCCATCTTGAGTAGATGACCAGGTCAACTACAAATAGATAGGCTTTGACTAGAGATGAAAGTGAGTTGGCAATATTGTGATTGCAATAAGAAATAAAGTAACACTAAGAGCCCTTGAGGAATACCGTTTTATTGGGTTTTAATATCAGAATAAGTGCTGTCTATTCGAACTTGGAAATGTCGCGTCAGGAGAAAGTTTCGGATAAAATTCAAGATGTTTCCTTGAATTGACCAGCTCGACAAGGTAGTTAAAATATCTTGTCTCCAAATTGTGTCATAGGCATGATACAGACTCTATGTCTGCTATGTTATCTTGTTTTACAGTTGTTAATATTCAAAGCGATTTTTAAAAACTAATTTTTACAAGTTCTTTGTATAATTATGTAGCTACGAAAAATGCTTGTTATAGCTTTTCGCACAATTTCTCACAAAATAATTAATTTAATTATCTTCTTACCTTTTGCTAGAGGTTGATCACCTCGGAACTCAATCTCGAAATCGGCAGACTTCTCTTTCTTAGCGACGAGAGTCTTATGGTAAATTCCGTTGCTAGCTTCTTCTAAAACCTCGAACATGTTGGCCACTCTGGCCGTATGGCCAGCTAACTCAACGATGTTCTTGTAGCTACTCATGAGCCGTTCTACAGCATCTGAGCCAGTGATCAACAGGTTCTTAGAGGTAGTGAAGTAGTGCGTTCGTTCTGATACGCTGTCTTCTACTTGGTCGTCGGCTGTGTCTGCAGCAATAGGAGATTCTGGTTTGGATGAAAAGTCTGGTATGGAAAGAAGGCTTTTGTTGGAGATTTTGCGTCGATTGCCGGCTGCTAGGAGAATAGGCAGAGATACGACTATTATACCTAGAAAATAAAAAAAACAATTATTCTTACTATATTCACACGAAAAAATTATTCAGTTTTTACTAGAGAGTCTAAATTAACCTTTGAAAATCGCGAGATGCTATAGTGATGAAGGCTGTTCATGCACGTTTACGATCGCGTTAATTTTATTAGGTGCACACGACAAGTGGAAGCTAATGGCAATTGAACTCCGAGTGACGTGTGACATCCAGGTTTTTTTAGGTCAGAAGTTGGGCTAAAAATGAGCTATTTTCTGCCTACTGTCAAAATTTCAAGTCAATCCATTCATATAAAAAAAATTCTGAGCAGAAAACCGTCATAAACGCACGAAATCTGCAGATGCACAGACAGTAGTTTTAACAGGATGATACAACAAGCTATACAGCTATACGCTCCCTAGCCTTACTTCACGAACATTTTGAAAACAGAATAATTTCTGTGAAACAGACTTCCGAGTACTCAGCTCACTCACCTGACCTGACAACACCTGATGCATACATTTGTGGCATGCTGAAGAAATCAGTATTTACTACGAGAAAAGATAATAATTATTTCCAACAACTGCAGCAACCACTCTTTATAAATATGTTGAATCGTGATGAAGCTAAATTTCGGTACTGTTTATTTTGGCGAATACTAATAAAAACTGTTCATCTTATTGTTAAATAACTTACCTGCCCCAGACCACACATATTTCATCAAAAATTGCTCCAACATGATGAACCATAATTTCACTCCGAACATGTGTTCCAAATGTTTAGATAAAACTCTAAAAGCTTGTCTTAGTTGACTTTCTTCGACCCGATGGCCTCCGTAGAAAGCAATCTCTTCGGCATTACTAACGATTCTTCCGTGGACGTGTCGCAGATATCCTTTCTTCTCCGCTTCTTGGGCTACCAAGTGGCCGAACCTTGGAGACACAAACCTAGAAGAGAATGAATCTTTATAAGTTTTATTTATTTCAAGAGATACGTCTGTAGTTCTAGTCCGCTTATCTGATGACTACAGACTACAGTGGACACCGACATTTGCAAATATGGAAGTAAACTGTTTTGTATCCTTATTACAAAACCTGTTACTACTACTACATTACCTGTTGACTCGCAAAAGGTAACAAAAGGTTACCTTTAAAGCACTTTTAAGCTTAAGCATAGCTTATTTTATTTGTACATACACATAAAAAGAAAGGAATAACACCAGCTTTCCGAACAAATAACAACCTAGGCAAATATATCAAAAACAACAAGAGCCAAAATAAAAATCACTTACACAGTGGTATGTACAAACTTAATGTGGCGATTGCCCAAAAACTTACATCGGTCAAACTGGTAGAAACTTTAAGAAACGAATAGCAGAACATAAATGGGCTTGCAATAATAGAAAAACAGATTCTACGTACGCACTTCACCTTCTAGATCACAATCATTCTTTTAACGACGAATTTAAAATTCTTCACATTCAAAATAAAGGCCTTAAGCTATCCTTGTTAGAATCTATGTAAATCAACAAATTAAAAAACACAGATATAATTCTGAATGACCAACTTGAGACAAACAGTTCTCCCCTCCTCAACCTATTTCATTAAAGACTATAAAGTGTAAACGCGTGCCAAAAATAGATCACTTGAGAAAGGCAATCAGCCGAAACAGCTGTAGTGATAAGAGTTAAAATAAATTTTTGTGGAAGTTTGAAAACAAAGTTTTCATTCATTTATATTAATAACATTTTGAGAGAGTATTTAAGTAGTACGAAAATTTGTGTAAAACCCACTAAGCAATTTTTTAACATCAAATCTGCGTCCTAGCTAAAGGGTATCAACTCTTGAATTCTTGAAGTTATAATTTTTTAAACTTTGAGGGTATACAAGGCAACTATAGAACACGGTGATTAATTTAATCTTACCCAAATACTTTCGATCAATAGATCATCTTCAGGGGCATTTCGTCAGTTGTGGCCTATCCGACATAGTAGAATGTCATAAATGTAAAATTTGGACATAACAATACAAAATACAATACACTAAGACAAACAAACACTTTAAATTTTTTTTTAAGAAGCTACATGTTGTATAGAAGCCGGAGACAGAATGATGTCTGCGGCTTCTATACATCATGTAGCTTCTCCTTAAAATTTTTAAAGTGTTTGTTTGTCTTAGTGTATTGTATTTTGTATTGTTATGTCCAAATTTTACATTTATGACATTCTACTATGTCGGATAGGCCACAACTGACGAAATGCCCCTGAAGATGATCTATTGATCGAAAGTACTTGAGCAAGATTAAATTAATCACCGTGTTCGATAGTTGCCTTGTATACCCTCAAAGTTTAATTATTCGAACATTCAACCTTATATTGAGTTATAATTTTTTGTTAAAAAAACAGTTTTAAATCATTTTGAATATATTTTAATAATAATACATAATGCATGAAGTCTATATTAATACAAACCTTAAAAGTAAAGCTGAAAACATCACCACTCCGCAAATAATCACAGGTCCTATCACAAGATTCGAATGGCGACTCTTCACCAAATTGGCTAAAGCTATAACCATGAGCAGTATATCGAAACATGGCTTCGTTATTTGACCGTAAAGGTGCGAAACGGTGTTGGCGACAGTTTCTATGTCATCTGTCAGCCGTTGCGCGCAATTGTCTAATCTGCCGTCTAAGACAGTCACCCTGTAGTAACTCTGGTTCTTGAAGTATAGTTTGTATGAGTGGTCTACCAGTCTGGTGCGAAAACTCAAGGCTATCCGACTTTCCAGATATCTGAAAGAAGAAATACAATTTTATATATAAATAAAACTAAATAATGGTAAATTACAAAAGCTATACAGCTTAAATATAGCTATAGTGTGGCAATCAAAATTTAGCTGGTGATTTGCGCACAAATTAAATGCGGGTAGAGGGTAGTACTCTTTTACAGAGTCAGTAAAGGATAGACTACTTCAGGACTTCGAAACCATCAAATTACTGTTTATTCCTACCCATTCCATCTCCTAGACCGGAAAGTGAATAAACATTCCTGGCGAAGGGCAGCAGTGACCACTGACCACCAGTAGCAAATTAAGGCGCATAGGAAATTATTCTGGACCAGCTTATTATTAGACACACAAGCGAAGCTGTAACAGCGGAATTGTTGTGATGCTATGATATAGAAAGGCAGAGAATCCACTGTACTATTATTCCCAAGAACGTTAATCGTGATGTTATCTAAGAGTGAGCCTCGGATGTTGTCACTCAGTCCGGATGATGACTGGAGCTACGTTGAGTCCGGGTAGAGAAGTGAAAAATCAGGTACCGGCCAAAAGACTAAAATACTGACCCATCCAGCGCAGACGTCAGATCTTTATGGATGTTATGAACTCGTGTTCATTGTGTATAGTTCATAATTATATCTTCTGTACCATATGTCATTTTCTTTCAACCAATTTTTCTTTCTTATATATGTGTCTAAGGATTTTTCGTTCAAACGTACCTAATAGGTTCTCATCGCTTTTCGACAGTGTCCATGTCTCTGATCCATATACAAGGACCGGTTTTACTATACCTAATAATGACTGGAATACATCGGTAAAATACTCTGTGGACCTATCTATGAAGTCGATGTCATCTGCATATCCAACAACTTGTAGAGATTTGCTAAAGATAGTGTCATGTTGGTTGCTGGCCGCATGACGACTATGCTCGCCGATAGTTGGTCAGTAAATTGTCTCTTGGCCGACTTTAGTAGCGTTAAGATCGACAAAAATAATTTTTATGTCGTTGTTCTGACAGTGCCTATACGTGCTTTCCAGTTTCTCATAAAATAGGTCCTTCCTCATCTTATTTATATTCAGTGGGAGCAAGGATTTTGATCATACTTTAGTTAAAGAACCTCCCCTTTAATCGGACTCTACATATCCTTTGATTAATTGGGTCGAAAGCTATGACAGGCGATTTCATGCATTTGTTCAGTATGAATCCTACCTCAAAAATATGATTGCTTTTATCTTCGCTATAGTATGAACTGTAGTCTTTTTTTCCAAAATGCTGTGTGCTAAGTATTTATCTATAATCGAAAATCAAAATTGTAGGCAGTAAATTCTTAGAAGTATAGTGACGTTTCAGCGCTATTGCAGGTCTTCCAATGGCGTATGAAAAATTTCATAAGAAGTTTCGACAAAGCTACTTGTATCGAAGAAATACTTATTTGTAATATGTATCGCGTCAATTTAAGATTCGGTTGGTTTGCTATCGAAGTAAATATCGACATAAACGCAACGACATTGCATTTTTTGCACAGTAGTATTTTTCGAAGTGAGATAAAATTCTGAAATCGGTCTAATTATTTCATTGGATTACCGAAGCAGTGAATACGTATTATAATGTTGTGAGCAATATGAAAGGCGAGAGCAGTCAAAGTGAACGATGGCCAAATTTTTCGATGGGACTCCGTGAACGGAATATAAGTATGTTGGTCAACGATGTAGTTACTCTGTGTAGTGATTTGACTACAGTGTCAACGAGAACTGTATACATAATTCTAAAAAAAAATTTAAACAAAGTAAAGGCAAATCGGATAATGATAATGTATCTCTTGAAAACAATCAAACCAGAGGTAGAAAACGCATCCAGTTTTAAGATGACACCAAGTATGCTATTCGGACGAAATTCCACGCTTTTTATTATGGGAAACGAAATCGCACCCTTAAAGAATGTAGAAGTCGAAATAAATTTCGATGATTCAATATCCAAAATATCACGTGTTTTATTGCGGACATTAGGGCAAATGATCATCAAATCTATGAAAAGAAAGAACAGTGTCCTTATAGAAAAAGAAGAAATTATCTTGTGGCGAGGACATTACTTACAAAAAATCCGAGAGTATCGTTATGAAGAGCGAAAATTGTACTATTTAGATGAAACTTGGCCAAATCAAGGCCATACTGTCTCAAAGGTGTGGCAAGATTTTGAAATTAAAAGTTTTCGACAAGCCTTTATTAAAGGGTTTTCAAGAGGTTTAAAAACACCAGTCCGTAAAGGACGGAGGCTCATAATAACATATATAGGTAAAAAATATTTAAAAATTACTTTATAAAAGGTATAATATTAAAAAACCCTATCGGGCTACATCACAAAACGTTTTCGGAATATTCCATTATCAGTGATATCTGGATATACATGAACAATTGCTTAGTATTCGAATCCAAGAAAACCAACGATTACCATACGGAAATGTATGCTCCATACGCTTCGAGAGATTCCATGTGCTCAAAGATTTGAATGTTGGTTTTCAAAGACTCCAAACCTCGAAGCAACTAAAATACGTTTTCTCTAACTACATTATACTTTGCTCTTTTTAAAAAGTTAAATAAGTCTTACATCATATATCATATTATATTAAGATTAATTTTTAAAATTCACTTCAATAGTGTAAACGATAAGCCACTGAATGCTAAACTACGAAATCAATGAGCAATTTATCTCTCTCTATCTTATCGCAACGTTGATCTAATATTTCTTTCTAGAACTAGTTCTAAGAACTCGACGTTGTCATGTTTGACTTTTACATGGAATATTATCGTACTTTTAGATGTTTTTGATATATAAATATTGTATATATCGTCGGCTTACAAGCGAAACACACCAAGTCAAAAAATCTAGTTTTGAGATAATCGTGTTTTAAATTTTTTTAAAAACAGTTTGATCAATTTTCGCATTTAAAACTTTTATATGTTGTTTTGTAATTATACGAAAGTTTTCATAAAGTATTAATAATGATTACTGACGAGGAGAAGTAAATTATATATTACCAAATTATTAATTTTTGTTTAATTTTCGATTTAAATACGTTGACTTAATGTTTTTTACATGTAGCATTTAAATTAGTGTGTTTTACTTGTTTAATTTTGCTATGAAAGTATGACTTACGTGTATTTTTTTTTATTTACTTACTGTCATACGATTATTGCAGGCTTCGTTTACATTGTAAATAATACAATAATTTTCGCTTATATAAGTTTTTAATTTTTTCATGTATATTTTCACAAAACAAGAACAATATTAAAAAAACAGGTATAACAAAACAAAACGTGTATAACAAAAAAAAAATATGCTTCTAATTTTCAAAGTCTTCTTCGTCAGAGTCCTTTTCAGCTAACTCCGCTGTTTGGTCTCGAACAGAAGAAGAACTGGTAGATTTTTGACCTGGTATGGAGCGCTTGCTGAACTATTTTTTTTTTCACAGAGCTTTATCAAATATTTTTTCTTTGCATCCGAAATTGGAAGCTGTTTTGAATATAATTAAGGAATAACCAAATATTATTATTATCTGATTTGACTGTTCTGTTAGAAGCACGACATACAAAACTAACGTTAATATTTTTATAGTCGTCGTGAAATTATCATATGATTATACTTGTACTGTAGAATGTTAGGAAAGTGTTTCTCATTCTTAAAACACTTTACCTTTAACCAGTTGAACGTTTGCCCTTTTTGATCCTCTTTCTTATTAACAATAGTATATTGTGCAAGTTTTTTCAAATCTAAGAATTCATTATAATTAACTTCACGAGTGGATACACTTATAGGAACATTTTTTATTCCCATTGTTGCCCATTCTGGCCATTTTTCAAAGACCATTTTTCTGGCCAAAGACATTTTCGTATTTGTGAACACTAAAAATCTCCACTTTTTTTTTCACTTTCAATAGCGCTATGCATGGAATCTTCCATATAGGAGTGTCCAGTTCCCATGAATTTTTGCTCACCTATCCGAAGACTCGGATGGTTTTTAACAATATGTAAAAGCAGAGCAGATACTTGAATATTTCTGTTCTGTCCTCCACACGTATCTGAAAAGATCGTTAGATGTTCTATATGAGATAATGAATTAATGTACATTCCTAGGCAAGTACCAATTTCACAGCTTCGACGCTTAACATTGACTTCTTTTCAAAAATAACAGAATGCCTCATTTGGTGGAGCAGATTCATAAATTGTAAAATTATAGAGGTTCAGCTTTCTAAGATAATACAAGAGACTTACTTGCGATGATGATGGAATTTGTAAAAAGCTTTGCATATCACATGTAATTGATTTAAATTTTTTATTATTTTTCGATATTTCTTTGTCTGAATTTTTTTCTTTCATTGCAGCCTCTTTTCTGTCTAAATGACTCCTATAATTAAGCTCCATCGCTTCTTCTTCTTGTTGCGATGCTTTTGTGTATTCCTTACAGGTCAAAAATTGGTCTTTCTTAGGTTTGAAAAATTATGTACTAGATTCCTTGCAAAAGATTCGCCTATAAGTTATCTGGCTTAAGCTTAGCAAATTGTCCTCTTTACACTTTGTAACGAACAGGTCGTGCATTTTTTTAATATTAAGATTGCAATCTAAATAAAGTCTTTTCGAAGACTTTCTAGTGTAGTGACTTTCTACAACAGGAAAGCTTTCAATGTGTTTTTTTGCTCTTATTCTTGTTTCCACTGAAGTTTTATTGCCAGGAATCCTACGGCCCCTTCTGTCTATTCCACTATATTCGCCGCGTAAGTCAGTCGGTAGGTTCATTCGTAGTCAAGTGAAATACATTAAGTCACTTAGTGTGTTTTGCCTGAATCATATATAGTTTTTGAGACTTAGTGAGAAACATGATAATTATAAAAATAACCGTTTTTGTTATTGTATGACTTAGTGAGTTTAACCAGTCTAAAGAGTATAAAAAATACAATAAAATGCTGCAAATAACTCAAAAGTGAAAAAAATTGACTTAGTGTGTTTCGCTTGTAA